CTTCCTCAAAATTAAAAGGAGTACGTACAATGAAATGTTGCAACGATTTGTTCATGGAAGATATACGATAATTTATTCATATACAGATGCCAGTACGTATTCAGATTTTTTACATAGAAAGCAGTAAAGGCACTTTCACATTTTGTTGGTAAGAACTTTCTAAAGTTTATATACAAACATAAATTTGTAACTGTACATGCATATATATATATATATATATATATACGGTAAATAATTTAATCAAATCGTAGCGAAGATTTACAAAAACAAAAAATTTTAATAAATTCATCATTTATACAATTACAATGGTACACTGAAAATAAGATTATTAAAATGTTATTTTTCATTTTAGGAAATGTCCAGTTCCCATATCACTCCTTTCCAGATAATATCGTAAGTTGACTAACATTTACTTGATAATGAAAATAAATTATTGAGATTTCTTTTTTTCCTATACATTCATACAAATTAATAATATTATATTAACCGAACCAATGATTGCCCATGCAATCTCTTGTCCACTGAGTCTGACATACCCAACACCAATGATAACCACAACCTGCTCGGGTGCAAACCATGTGCATACATCCTCCTGAAACAAAATATTTTTTATAGATTTTACGATATAATTTTGTTGAACATTAAACAAACTGTTCAGTGAAATAGGATACCATCTCTCTCTGTTGGTGTCCTGCATTTCGGGCATGGTTTGGTTGAAATTTGTATAGTTTTCTTACTAGCTTCGTCCCATTTTGCCTGAATATAATAAAATTGAATAAACTCTTGAACTAATGCTCAATTAAAATTGAACTAATCTACGTACATCTTTAGCTCTTTGCGGATCAACCGAATATCCAGATTTGTGTACCGCATTGGAGGATTCGGATGGCGGCAATTCACATTCCCCTACATGAAATCCCTGTAAACATCTCCTGCAGAAGACATACTGAAACCGACAACGTACAATTAATATTTAGATTCTTAATATTCATCCTGCAAAATATTTTATGCATATAATTACCCCACAACCGCCGATACATTGAATTCTTCTACATTCGTCATTAGTACCATCATCTGGAGATGATGGTATAATACCCATGCCACAATCCGGTCTTGGACAAAGAAGTCCACCAGCGCGTAAGACGTATTCTTCGGTACTAAACCTTTGATACTGTTCATACTGCATGACATACATATACTGTTTGTTAACATTTAAATTTTCTTCATTCTTCAAAGTTCATTTATTCTCCATAAAATACCTGTTCTGGAGTTAGGAGATGAAAATGGTGGACTTCAGGGATAAAAGAATCTGGACATCCTGCTGGACATGGCAAAGTATAATACCCTTTAGTTTCATCAAACTGAAATTGACGTTCCCTTAAACGAACCGAGCAATAATCTCTAAAGCAATCAAGGCAAGTTACATGGCCTGCTTCGCATGGAAAGACTAACACCATATCTCTATAAAGGTAACTCTGTATGAAAATCTTGCTATTTCTTATTATTTGTATTATTTTTAATCTGTATGTTAATCACCTAACATCTGTACATGCAAGACAAGGTATCTTCCTTAAGTTAGGTTTTATGAGATAAAGAGGAACTGCTTCATCCTTTTCCCCTAGGCTAACATGTTTTGCACATTTAAAATAGAATCGTGCATACAAAACTTGACATTCTGTATCATTAGAAATTGATGTAGGTGCTGGACAAAAATCATTTTCACAGTGAACTGTTATCCTTTTAGGATGTAATACATCTGGCCAGCATTGAGGATCTCTGTCTACTGTAACAGCTCCACTGTTGCAAGTTGCACATTTCACCCGTAATTTTCCAACTGTGACAGCTTTACAAGGTGCAGAACAAAACACAAAAAAATGTGCTCTGTTCTCTTGTTGTTCTATAAACATAAGAAAATTTTGATAAAATTCCAGCTATCTTTAGTATTTCAAGAACTATGGTTAATGAATATTCACTTCAACCATTTGGGTTTATCCTTTAAATGGCTAGGATTATTCTACCTTCCATGGATGAATTTTCTTGCGTATCTGATTCGTCAAAAGGTAAATCAGTAAGAGTTTCGTTCATTGGCTTTCCACCGCTTTCATTTGACTCTGATAATTCTGAAGATTCTTCAATGGTACTGGTGTCTTTGCTTTTATTAAGCCTTTGGGGCGGAGTTCGAATTGCATGTAAGATACTTTGTTGACCCAAATCACATTCCTAAAATAACATTTTGCATGAAACCATCAAGTGAGGTTATTATGTGTAAACAGTTTTCTTCTTCAAAACTATAGATTGTCAACGAAATTGACTTATGATACACGTAAGCTTACCTCTATTATCGTTGAATTATGCAGTTCTTTACCTGCAAATATTATTTTTATATCTTCAGGTGATATCCCCATTTCTGATGCTATTAACTGTTTCACGTTTTTTATATCCCATTTTGGATCTAAATCGACAGCAATTGTGCTTCCAGTATTTGTTTTGACAAATATACTCAGTGAATTTGTTACTTTTCGTTTACTGAACCAAATTAATTGCAACATCGTTAGAAACACATTCCGTATGAAGTCAAAAAAGAAACTCATACTGATTAATTCGAACGTCGTTTATTTTGATGAATTTTTAAGCAAGAAAGAGATAGAGAATGCTACAGTACTGAGGTTAATTTTTTGGAATACAAGAATTATTTCAATTCAGTATATAATCTAAAAATAAAACAGTATGTAAATATCGTTCAAATGGTTGCGGTGGAACAACTAGGAATCTGAAAGAAATTTAATAATCATTCATCTTCATCAAACGTGGTGAAACATTATATGTTATACCACAAACGGGGTATAAAATAGATGTTTTATCTGATGAGACTTTGTGTCGCATGTTTTAAAGTACCGATTTGTGATCTGTTTTCGTTGGATAAGAAAGGGGAAATGTCCCTCGACACCATCTCTGGTACAATTTTGGAAACGTATGTGCTGGGGTAAATAAAGAAACTTAATGTATCGACACAGATTTAATTTTACATACATAAATGCCACCGATGGGAGTAAGTAAAAAATATATACAAAGTACATACAAAAGTAAACCGATTATTCAAGATATTTCAATATTTAAGGATTTTTTATCTTAATTCTTTTCCAACCATTTTTGAGTTTCTTGTATCTCGCGGTAGTTAATATTTGTACCAATGGTGGTTTTAATTTTGTAGTTATTTTCTGCCCCTTATCGACAGTTACCGTAACATCGGTAGCCTGTTCAGTTATTCCATTCGTAGTACTAGATGTCGCGGTAGGTTCAGTAGTTTCATCTGATATTTCGTTAGAAACTAAGTTACGAATTGTATTTATCCTTTTAATACATCTGTCTCCCTTATTTGCAGCTTTGTATCGTTGAAGGTATTCATTCAAACCCATTCTTATCCCAGAATCGTCCCACGGAGGGAACTTATATATATCGCCTCCTGGAATCCATTTTTGTGAGGATTTATCCCAGCGCCCTTGTACGACGTCCGTGCCCTTCGGAATTGTGGAACCTAAACCTAAGTAAATCACGAATATTATATTCATTATTTATTTATTGTTTAATAAATGATCACTTACATGTTTCTTTTATACTCTTCTTTTTAGACGATTTTTGTTCAGATTTCGAACATGTAGCCAAGTATTTGCGAACGTTTACATTGTTTTTTACAAAATCATCCCAGAGTAGATCGCTGGAAATTGTTGGAATCGCCAGATCTACCAACCATCGCTTGCTTTTGTCAATAGTTATAGGTTTCTTGGGCTGTTTCTTGTCCCTTATTCCTGGGTACGTTCTAACTATTTTTTCTTTTCCTAAAATTGAAATTAAATCAAAACGTAATATATCTCAAAATCAACTATCTAATGAAATTGAATTATTTACTTAGAGTTAATAACGCTTCCTCGTTATCATCAGTATCATCCCATGATACATGAACACGGGGCAGCTCCCTCGAAGAAAATGGCTCTTTCTCCGCAAAGGTGATCTTTCCTGGACTTCGGACCAGCCGTTTTTTAGATCCTAAAATTGGTGATTCCGAACGTTCCTCGACCCAGCATGGAGCTTCTCGAAGAAGTTCCGGAGATTCTATGTCTTTAAACAGAACGTCGTTCGGTGAACAGGAAACACATGTTTCCCAATCGCTATCAGATTTCCTTTTCGCCCTTTGTTTCGGTTTTTGCTTTCGCGCCTTTCTTTTTGTTTCCTTATTTCTCTTTATAATTCTTTGTATTATATTTCCACTTGTTTCTTTAGTATTCGACGATGAACTTGATTCGATAGTGGACTCGCTTATACTGAGTTTACGAGACTTTTTCCGTAGCACAGGTGTGCTACAGAAACTTGAATATCTTTTTTGCTTCTGATTGCATTGGGATTTATCAGAGGAAGACATCCTGATATCTTACTTGATGGTATTATTCGTAACTACTGACGGTTAGCGAAAATCTTCGACTTTAAGTTTGACTTTGATTTCGTAAACTTGAATTTAAGTCGTGTGTCGGAATTAGTTCTCGTGTATGTAAATATTAGTGGTGTAATCAGAACTGTATATTTCATATAAGGGGCAATCATGAGAGAAATTAATATTTATATATTCTTTTTAACATATACTGTTGATAGGAAACGAGGATGAACGCGGAAGTAGATCGTGATTTTTAAAATAACTCATCTCGAGTCAGGCCATTTACGATATTATCGTGTTAATTCTTGGAAGGTTAATCAATCAATGCATCGAATTGGCGTCGATCATATTTCGAGAAAAAAGAAGATTGAAAATAGAAATATTTTCACATAAGTGGTGTTTTATTTCAATTATATTACATTTTTCTAATTGTTATTATAAATTTTGTTTTTATTATTTACAGTGTTCATCGTTTATTGTTTAATGATATGTGTTATTTTCAAATTCGTAGCTGCCGAAAGGATGAAGCGCCATCTTGATACGTCACTGGTTTCTAAAGGTAGCTACCCGAGATGCTCCGCGCACCGTCAGTCCACGCTGGATTCCCGCGCCGTTCGGTTCGTGGTGTAGTGCCTGTGCAAGGTTCGAATTTGACAAGTCTTATCAGAATTTTCGAATCGCGTCTTCCTTATTTTCTCTGCTATTACGATTAATACTCCGATTATTCTCGATTACGTGATTGTTTTCAACGCGTCTCGCGTGATTGAGATCGTAAAGGTTAGCGATAGACAATCGAAAGGGCAAAGGCGGTTAAGGGAACACAATGCCAGCGGATGCGGAACTCAGTAATCTGCTTAGCAGGAGGCAAAGGATCAACGAAGAGCTCGAGGAAGGGAAAGAAGTGAAAAAGCAGTACAAATTCGTGAACGTTTACACCGAATTCCACGAGCTGTCTCGTCGGGAGATCAAGCAGTACGAGCAGACCTTCAACAGGTGAGTACTCTTTATTCTATTTTTCTCTATTTCCCGTATGCCTGTTTATTGTACCGACAAGAATGGAATAATATTGTCGTACGTTGTCATTTTGGAATGAACGCCTTTGAAACGACCGCTTGGATCTGTTTGTATACACCCAAGGTGTACTGGTTCTAAACCGTTCCTTTGTGCGTAGAAAAGTTTCAGTCTCGGATTCGTGCGACCGTAGTTTCTTAAGCCGGGTCTACACTAGCACATTTTTGTTTGCATCAACAGATTTATGTTACAGTGTGCGTACGCAAAAATTTCTGTATCGCATTCACATTCCAATTTTTACATAGAAACGTGCGTAAATTTGCAGTAAAAATTTTTTTACGATTTAAATTTTTACCAGTATGGACTCAGTTCTAGGTTACTCATAGATCAAACATTTATTGTTTCTTTTATTATTACTCAAAAAATATTTATTATTTCAAATGTATACACATATTTGAATTATTTAAAATAGTCAAATAATTTTGTTCAGCCATCTTTGATTTTTGACAGATGGCTGACTCGATTGATTCAACTAAATCGTATCAGTTATTTGAGTAGTTGTAAATTTGAAGAAAACGTTATTTATCTTTACTATCAAGTAGAAATTGCGAGATAAAGCGTACAAGGAAATCGAAAGTGAATCACAGCTCTTGTCGCACTCGCCTGCGGTTTTGCTCCTTGTTTACATTTACTCGCTCGAGTTTACGTTACTACCTACAGGCAGATCGTGTTGCATTGGTGAGATAATTTTTATTATAACACGAAATGAAATAACCTATGGGTCAATTGTAACCCAATATATCCTATTCCATATATTATTTCAAATTTACAATCAACTATTTCTAATTAATCATCATCATCCTAATATTTCATCTTTAACCTTCAAAAATTTAATTTATGTCGTTGGTAATGCGCATGCGTACGCGTACGTACATCGAATTGTTAAAATCGATTTTTCTCGATAACCATTCTACCGTGGTAACTTTCGATTAATTCCACCGCTTTAATAATAATCGAAACTCGTTCTGTATCGCTTTACGTATCGATATCGTTATCTTTATATCGTATATTGAATTTGAACGTTCGTTATCCTGCGGCGTTTTAGTTTATCCGATGGAAACAAGGGAAAAACGAATGAAAATGGAAAAGTCACGCGCTAGTCGTTACGAAACCGCAGATGGCTGAATTCGTGACGTAGTTATTTCGTAGCACGAAGAAAAGACCGAAGGGAAGAGAGCAAGTCGTGTTGCAGAGCCAGCACACGCGACCTCGAGGTTTGTCCTCCGTCTCTCTTGTTCTTCTTGCAGGTATTTCGGAGCGAACCGGACAGCAGGTTTGACAAGGCAGAACCAGGGTGGACGGCCGAGCGAGAGCAGTTCGTTTATATACCGTGAAAAAGTTGCGTCGCGTAATATACGATTTAAATTTATAATCTCAAATTTTCATTCGCACTGATTCTTAACCGACGATACGAAAATCCCGCATCCGGTATGAGCCTTCCTTTATAAATAAAAATTACCATATTTAATGCTGCACTGAAATGTCAACGTATTAAAATTATAATTAAATAGGAATTAGGAATATTTTTCTCTCTGTTAATCGATTAAAAACTTGTCACGTTTCACAAAAGATAAATACGTATCGTTTTTCTGCGCTGATACAGATACAGGTTCGCTGACATTTGATAGTAAACGTATAGTTAGTCATTGGATGCGACCACGTAGGTTGCAGCTATCTGTTGACCACTTCCGGTTTCGGTAGCCGCCTTACCTCGATCAACCGGCGTCAAATTTTTTTCATCCTAATGACGAAATATACAACACCTTCCGCGGTTTTTAATTCTACTTATTCCCAGAAAAATCAGAGTGTAAAAGGGGGATTAAAATTCAATTAGAATTAATACACACTATGAAACTGCGAGCTTAGAAATCTCGACGTGAAATTCACACTAGCTAAACGACCTTTTACTTTTACCTACCTAGCTGCAGAAAGAAATCAGCTCGGTTCGGTTCGAACGTGATTAGGTTTCGACTTTTCTCTTGTAGAAGGATTTTTCAACTTTTTCTCTCTCCTTATCTTTTTCTCCTTTCACGACGGTTACGGGGGAGAAAATCGTGACCTATTCCGGCATGATCCGCGTGTTGCAATAAATTCTTCCCACGTGTAAAATATTATCCGTTCTGTGGTCACGCGTGGCTCACGCTATCATTGCGTATTAGCTAGATGAAACAATATGCAGGGATAGATCGCTTCCGCCTCGAGATCGTTAAAATTCATTCGTGTCCAGGCCGATGAATATCATTAGTAATCGAGAAAATTACTAGCTCCCGGTACTGCGGTACTTGGAAAATGAAAAAATTCTATATAACGAGAAAAAGGAATGTGTTTTCCATTGGGGTTTCGCGTCGTTTCCAAATTTCATATGCGAGAGGGGTTTGTCCGCTCGATACCGGAAGTCGTCAGCAACATGTCCCGGTGTGTTCTTTTCATGACTAACCACCTCGATGTACACGTAACACTTTGATTCACACGCGTGTCTACTCGATGCATGATTCACGATGCAAATTGTCAGGTTGCTCTCCTCTCCGTCCACGTTCATTTCCCTCGATAAAATGTTGAAACGGAACGCGTGATTGAATTAGGCTCGTTGGATAAATTGGACGGTCTCGTTTCGGAAACGCCAATGAAAATTGTCATGCATACTTGATTTCTCGTCCCCTTCCAATGGAGACATTAATATTACTGTTTTCTCATGAAATTATGCCAGATTTTCCGTGATTTTCGTATTTTAATTAATATAGTAAACGAGAATTTGGATAAATAACGTTGGGAGGTTCGTTAGATTTTATAATTCTAATAAATTTTATTTTCATTTTATAGTTTTGTGAATAACAACGGATTGACAAAAGGAAGGCGGTAGTAAAAAAGGTGCAAATCGAGCGTGAATGGTGAATGCAAGTAGGAAAAAGGTCGACGATACAATCCTTAATACCAGCTAACTTCCTACGTTGAAGATGTACTTGATTTTCGCTGAATCGCGAGACACCTAGCAGCGCGAATCGAGTGTAGGATAATCGCGAGTATTCGATGAACTCTGAACCAAACGAGGACGACGTAATTATCAAGCATGATATTAGGAGCGATAATGTGAGTTTATCAAAAAGTTCATTCAGTATTTCAATAAATGAATCTCTACTTTACTGTAATATAAAAAGAAAAAGATTGAGTAATTTTTTAATATTACAGTGGGTAGTGGAATTTCAAATTGATTACGGAATATTTTAATTTACGTTGTCGTTTTTTTTTAGGACGGAATCGAGAACTCGATTGACGAGTATTTAAATGATATTCTCATTGTCGGTATTTAATTAAATCGCTCATTGATTCACTTTCTCTGAAGGCATGGAATGTTTTTAAAATCATTAAAATAGAATTGGACGTTCTGGAAAGAAAATAGGTTCGATGTGGCGGCGAGTTTGGCGAAGTTGTCGCAATAAGCGAGCAGCAAACCGTTACCTCAAAACCATCTACAAAGATCACGCGTTCCGAATACATAAACGATGTTAGAATTTATTCGAGAATGCGGCTCGTTCGTGTCGTGAAAATATTTTATATCGATCAGCTTCGATGCTTTGATACGCGTATTAGGATAGGAATGCAATTGCACGTTAATGCTATAACAGTTGAATACTTCGTGACATCGATAGCTGTAACAATTTCATATTCCTTCAGAAGTATCTCTAATGATACGTTAAAAAATTTCAATTTTTCTTTGTAATTACTGAATAAATAGAACGCCGGTCGTTAAAGTGTTGATTAATAATTTTAGTTGAAAAAACGTTATCAAACTAACACGAGGAATGTAATTAGGGTTTAGCGCAATAAAAGTTTACCGCATAATCTTATCGCGAATGGAGTTTAATTAGGCCAGGTTGTTCGACAACACACACCAGCAGCCAGGTATTGTTATCGCAAAATCAATTCTTGCATTATTAGCCGAGCTACCGCGTGATTCGTTCGCCAGCATTTTCCAAGACTATCCAGAGAGAAGTGGGTCAAGGTGGTTGCTGGTACTTTGCTGATATGTTCCTCTTACCCTTCTACCATTCTTTCTGAGATCGATGCAGTCGCAGATTCTCCTTTTGTATTCGAAAAGACGTCATCTCCGATCCAACTTAAGTGACGATGAGATGCTGGTACTTACCATTTTTCTCTTGCCAAGTTCTTCAAATATTATTCCAATAATTCGAAGAGATGATTTGTAATAATTATATGATAGGTTCGTACATTTAATTTTGCTTATTTTTAATTCATATTATTCGATATAGAAATTAATAGGTAGCTTTAATGAAATGCTCTGAATCGATATTTCGTCGAAGCTTTTTCATTGTTCTCGATGAAACGAAGGTGAATGGTGTGTCAGCAGTGGAGATGTGAAAGATTGAAAGGTCAAGTGCACATTAAAGATGAAAAGCATCGTCGGGTCAATTTTATCTTTAATTCAGAAATGTCTTGTATGTATCTTTCAAATATATTTATTACATATCAAGGTATTAAGAACGGAATTACATCAGGTTAGATAACAATACTTCACTTTGATCGAAGACCTACGAGGTCTTAATATAATAACACTTTGAGATGATTATACAATGATTTAATGAATCACCGTTCCTGTGATAAGATGCCTCGAGTTACGTCTAAAAATATTGAAAGTGTTGAGATATCTGAATAATTAACCCAGATATCAGACACTCTCAAACAGCACTTTGCTAATTCCTTGAAATCTTATTACTGAATACAAAAACCCTAGCTCATTGTTATTTAAGTAATTAGAATCGATGTACAAGCAACTCATTGTTACCTCTGTAATTATGAAAAATACCATTTCATCGTTGAAAGAAAAAAATATGTGATTTTTGAAATGAGGATCGTGACTCCAGAAAAGGTCGTAAAGTGATTTCAAAAACCAGATTTTAAATGTTAATTATTAAGGAAAAAATCTGTTTTTTAATGGAAGAATGTTGTGAAACATCGAGACTTATCAATCGAACGTTGAAATTAGCTGTGAAATAGCAAAACGAGTGCCTTTTATCGCGCACTGTATGCGTGGGTGATACGATATAGTTCCCTCTCGCTCATATTGATCAGCCTTGCTTGACCATGCTTATAAACGCGTAACCTCGACCTTCGAGCGATTCTCCTCAGTCTGATCGAAAGAAGCTACTTGAAATTTATCACCTGCGATGCGAAATAAAGGATAGGCATAGAAATGAAATGATAATCGTATACAATTATCAAGGATGTTCGTTACGAAGCTGCGCTATCCGACCTAAATCGGTCTATATAATTTTCATATCTGTATAACTTAGTTACCGAGAGCCAGTGTAATTTAGTTGAAATTCACTTTGCGCATCGTAGCGTTCACTTATTACGCGAATAATCGTAACGAAATCGTACGAAGAATATTATAAAAGAAACAAACAAACAAGGGGTGAGAGCGCATCGCGTTCCCGCGACATCGAGTGATCGGATATTTAACGTCGACAATGTAGCTGGCTTTCCAAGCGGTCGCTAATGAAACTCGTTATTTTTTAATTAGAGTGCGAATTATAAGAGCGGTTAGGGAACGTGAGAACGATCGACAGCGATTTTGTGGCGTACAGATTTCGAAAGCGTCGGTGGTTGTGAATGTCAACGGTGCTCGTTGCGGCGTGTCCGGGAACCGGAAGCTCGTGAAATCGACTTTCCGTGTAAACGATCCCGATAGCCGTCTCGCGGATAGCTTTCCAGAGAATTACGATGCGTTCTGTTGATTCAACGGAGCGCATCGTTCGATAAGATCGAATCTTGGAATTCGGTTCGATCGAGGAGTAGCTACATTTAGAAATCTTTCTCCGCCACGGTTATCCGTGATAATTCTTCGTGATTTTCTTCTTCCTTGTGCTTTTTATTAATAGTAATTATACATCGCAATATTTCTTTTGCAGATTCGATGCTGGCCACGATGGATTTCTGGATTTAGCCGAGCTGAAACGTATGATGGAGGTTCTAGGAGCACCGCAAACTCATCTCGGTTTGAAGGCGATGATACAGGAAGTGGACGAGGACGGCGATGGACGGATTTCCTTCCGCGAGGTTCGCGATTTCACGCGTTGATTGTCGTTCATTTTTGATGGAAACGATTTCCACGATCGGGTGCACCTTTCTCCGGACGAGATATGTAATTTGTACGAATAACAGGAAACAATCGGCCTTACGTAAGCGGAAATCGATCGAGTTCACTATGCACTTTCTTTAAAACCATCGACGATTTTATTTCTTTTAATATTTTCGGGTCGAATCTTTGATGTGTTCGGTACTAAACGAAACTCTCGCGCCCCGTTTCGCTTTCTGCGTAGAAATTCTTTTATTTTCACCCGTCTAGCATCCAGTTTGATGCATGCCTGCACGTGCTACATAATCTCCATAAAAATAGTCCGGCCCACGGGGTGTTTCACGCGTGTTCTTTTCCACGATGGGTTACTCATTTCTCCCATCTGCGATCGTGGAATTTCCGGGGGTCGATGGGTGTTCTGTTTTAACCAAGCACTGTGTAAATAGGTAATGAAATCGTATTTTATGTACACGCGACTGCGAAAGGGTTAAATGAATGCAACGCGCATTCGTCGGTGGAGAAACGGATAAATTGCAAATGCAAGGACACGAGTGCGTACGAAGGAAAGCCCTCGAACTGGATGCAAATGCACGGCTGGACATTCCTACGTGACATTTCGTGGCCCGCGAACAAAGCGTTCGATCTGCATACACGCGATCGGTTGTCTGTTTCATAGATCACCGTGATTCATCACTGAACGCTGCTCACTTTCCTGTTACTCATCCACCGTGTAAATAATCATTGGATTGCGGATATTTTTGCGTTTATGCGTGACACGTATACGACGTGGAAACAGGGAAAATAGAAATAATCATTTCAAGTATTACAAGCATAGTAATAAGAATGCTTTTGTAACTTCGTTTCTTATCATCGCTTATCAAACTTTCCAACTTGACTCGAGCGCAAGTGGAAAATTATTCAATGATTGAATTCCTTTCGAAAGAACGAATCGAACCGTTCGATCTTATCTCTGTACACGTGTGGTCTATGATCTGTTACAGTTTCTGTTGATCTATCGCAAAGCACGTGCCGGTGAACTGGAACAGGATTCCGGATTGGGCCAGCTGGCTCGTCTCACCGAAGTCGACGTGGACGAAGTAGGAGTCACTGGAGCCAAGCACTTTTTCGAAGCGAAGGTATTACCTTTCTATGGTAGAAATATTTACAGTCGTTTTCGTGACACTTTAAGCTTCAAATTGATGTATCGCAAGTGATATTTGGCGATATTTTTCTGTCATGAAATCTTATCAGACTGTAGATGTTTCAGATGTGATAATTGCGTTATCCTCAAATTATCAAAGAAGGTTTATTTGATTATTTTTATTAAGCTTTAAATACCATAAATGGTCTGGATTTGCGGAACGTCAGGAAAGCGTGTCCGCGTTAATGAACGTTTCCTTTAAATAAATTACCCCCTTTTACAGATCGAGCAGCTACGGAAGACGAGCAAATTCGAGGACGAAATCCGTATGGAACAGGAGGAACGAAAACGAGAAGAGGAAGATAGAGCGGCGAGGCGAGCGCAGTTCAGACAAAAAGCTGCTCTGTTTGGCAATTGAAAAGAAAATTCACGGATCGAGAAAGTGCCGAGCCACTTCTGCACCTCAATGGAATTACAAACGGTTGCCTTAATCCGATTCACCTGTTTCGTAATGCGATACGTCGATCAACATTGTCTCGTTAGATCGGCTTTAGCGATCGTTGCAGCATTAGAGAGCGTTGATTCTTGGCAAGGGAGGAGAACTATTGTTTCTAAGCTTTTATCGATTTTCATCTTTTAGAGGAATTGTTTTTTTATACGCACTTCGAGTACTGTGACCAATAGTGACATTAGTTTTAGGATTGAGATTATTTTGTAAGTTCTTTTTGGTATGATAAGTATTAAGGAACTTTTATATACAGAAAAAATAATTGTGTAAAAGTATCAGCCTTTTCATTATTTCGGCAGGTTCAGTTATGCTTTTGGAATTTTTAAAAGCATAATTGATCATTTAGACGATATTTCTTTAGGTTTCGTACAATTAGATTCTTTTGGATACGTATAACGAATAAATAGAATAGGAGATTTTAACGAACGCACGACTGATATTCTAAATGTAACATGTACATGTGTGTATAATAATTTATATGCTAATTTCAATTTTAATTGTAAAGGTTGACGCACTGTTGAGAAAAAAAAGATAAACATTTTGCAACACATTCTTGATGGGGTGATTTTGGATGATTTTATCATTGCTTATTTATATCTGCATCACTTTACTTTTAAAATGAAAACAAGGAATTTTTATCGAAGATAGGATTGATGAATGTATTTTCAGTCAATGTGTACATGTTTTTAATGGTATCTCATTTTATATCAATTTAAAACAAGTAAAACTTGATCTTCATTTAAAACGTAAAATTTTAAGAAATACGTTTTGAAATAAAATCACCAAGTCCACTGGTCAGTGTTGCGAATTGTACATATAAAATATAAGGGACAATAGATATGGCTTAAATAAGCCTATAAAATTAGATTGTAAATAAATCTTTTTGTTCCAACAATTGTTTACACAATTTATTGATTCATAAGATAGTTACTATAGTAGTGTACTTTATATTGTGATAAAACTTGCACTACGTTAACGTTATACTTGCATATTGCAATTTGATGTAAAATAAAAAACCTGATTTATGAAAGCAACGGTAAACTCATATAATTTATAGTTTTTATATTTCCATATTATAAAATGTCGACATAGATTCAAACGTAGAAAATATTCAATTGTAGCGCTCGATCCTGTTCTTTTCTTCCTCCAGTCTCGCCAACTTCATGGATATTATTCACTATAAGAATATTTAATGAAAGATAAACAATAATAAATCCGAAACATTATACAATGTGTAATCTTTGAATGATACATAATTGTTGAAATAATTATTTACAATATGATACAATTATTAATTCATGATAAGATAAGCTGTTTCACATATTGTATTGTGTGTATACCAACGTGATTTTTATATTGATGCCCCAAAACAAAGAGTTTTATTTGAATAATCTATTTTTGTTAGATCGCATATTTTTGAAAATTTTACTAATAATAAATGTGAAACTGAAAGAAAAAATTCACATTCATTGTGAATAAACAGTGAATAAATAACCTTATTCAGTTTTGAAACAATATCCTCAAGCGTATATGAAATAAAATTATATTTTAGTTATCATTTTTAAACATGTGTGTTATCATGAATTTTTAAGATTGTTGAATTATTTGCATGTCTTATCAAAGTTCGATTCTTATCTCGTTTTCAAAGTGGGTAATATATATAAATACCTACTTATTGCTATTTGATAACAGTGTCTGAAACTAACTTTTGGAGTAATTATTTCTCTCTGAAATGGCTTCAAATCAGGCAAGAGAAAGTTTATAAGAATACTGTTTTATATTCTGTAAAATTATTTTATTTATTATTGCATATTAATAATTTTAATATTTCATATTTTACAGATAGAAAAAATTGTTAATTTATACAAGATCATAGCCAAAAATCCATCTCTAAGTGGTGCAAGGATTTTAGAAGCTGGCAATAATGGAATATCAATTTTAAGCGGATGGTCGCAAAGGAATTTAGAAAGAAAAACAAATCAAAAGTTTTATCAAACTCATGTTTTGAATTCAGAACTACAAGTACAGTCTGAAAGTTTTCCTATTGATGTTACAACAGAGTATGGAACTTATTTACTTAGAATATAATTTCCTATATGTATTCAAATTGTATTTTTTAAGAAATTTCTATTTTTCTTTGAAGACTTCTCTCTGCTTTTACTGCAGATGAACAGCGTAAAGCTGTGTTAAGACAAGCTACAGTGGATAATTCTACAAAACAATTCATTGAAATTTGGGATAAACAAAGACTTGTGAAGAATTATGACCTAGCTGCTTTGGATGTACATGGAGATGTGTACAGTGATTGTAATTATACCTTTAGAGCTATACTTTAGAATTTTAATAATTATTTAACAATATCTATTTTTATTTACAGCCGAATTTTCTTCTTTTGAGTGGTCCCCAGACAACACAAAAGTATTATATATTGCTGAAAAAAAACTTCCAAAATCAGATCCATTTTATAAACAAAAACCTCTTAATAAGAAAGATAAAAAGGAAGAAGATGAGGTAGCAGTGGTAAGATCTGTTGCTTTTTAGAACATAAATGCAGTTTAGGCATTTCAAACTGAAATTAATGAATTATTAATGAAACAGGGTAATGAATATATTTACAAGCCTCACTGGGGAGAACAATTAGTAGGTAAACATCTTTCGGTTGTCGTGGTTCTCGACACCACGACCGACGTAATTTCAACTCTCCCAGGTATACCAGATGAACTTTCACCTGGTCAAGTAATATGGGCAGAAGATAGTCAAGGAATAGTTGGTGTAGCATGGAAACATGAACCAAGATATTTAGGTCTTATTGCTTGTACCAATAGACTTTCTTGGATATTTTTACTGAAAGATGGAGAGTACAGTAAGAACTCTATTTTCTAACTTATTTCTTTTCATATAAGAGTTGTAAGTACACATTTGTTATCAGTTTGAAAATAGATACGTAAAGATGTACATATTTTCTAGAAAAAATTTCTAATGATGGATGTGCTGTACGTTGTCCGAGATTCAGTCCCGATGGAAATTATTTAATTTGGTTAGAAAGAGAAGCTGGTGGCCCGCATCATAATGCACACAGACTTATGCGTCTTGAATTTCGCTCTAAACCAAAGGTATTGCCGTATTTGAATATTTTCTACGATACTAATTTCACATAAATTAATGTTAGCTTTCCTGTTTAGCCTGATATACTTGTAGATATTGTACATACAAGTATACCCATTAAAAATGCTAAACATTTCTATGGTTTGTACGGTCGCTTACCACGTCGCTGTTGGAGTAATAATTCACAATATATATTTTTAACTACACCTCAACAAAATAATTCATGTTCTTACATTGTCGATACAAGTACGAAAGATATATTTCACTTTGATAATCTTTTCTTTGTTGTGATTATCAGTAATGAAAACATCATTTTTAGAAACGAAAACTATCACCGAGATTGTAAATGATAAGAGTAGTCTTACCATTTTGGACGTAAAAGATGATATTATCGCATTTTTGGAAACATCCATTATAGAACCTGCGTTCTTGACAGTAGGGAAGTTTAATTTAGAAGCAGTTAATAACGGTACCATAAAAAGACATGAAGTATCAGCAATCACGAAAATTCTTACTTCTCATAATTTCATGTATGAATCGTCCGAATATGACTATGATAATGATAATGAAATTAGTAAGTAGTTTAATACTTGAAAAATACAAAATACTTTTAATTAAATATTCACAACTTTTTAATAATTTTAGAGCATTTTAACTACATTTACTTTGGACCAAAAAATGGGGAAGACAAATCTGTACCTTTTGTAATTGTTCCCCATGGTGGACCTCATTCTAATTATGCGAATACATTTACACTCGATTATGTTTTGTTTGTATTATCAGGTAAATATTTTATGAAGACATTTAGAAAGAGTATTGTTTAAAAATTCATCACACTAATGAAATATTTATAAAAATTTTTAACTCAAGGCTTGGCAGTGGTGCAAGTTAACTATCGTGGCTCTACGGGAATGGGTTCAAAAAACGTTGAATATCTTCAAGGAAAAGTTGGGGATGTTGATGTGAAAGATTGTGTGACTGCCACACAAGAGGCTTTAAAGAAATATCCATGGTTGAATCCAAAACAAATAGGAATTAGTGGGGGTTCACATGGTGGATTTTTAGCAGCTCAATTGAGTGCCCAGTATCCAGTAAGTTTCAAAAACAACGCGGTACTTCTATTTCTATTCGACCTTCAAATTCATATGATAAATCTACTTTATAGGATTTATACAAAGCTATTGTTGCGAGGAACCCAGTAATCGACATCGCTGCCATGTTCACTATATCAGATATTCCAGACTGGTAAAACGTTAATGTATTTAAAACAAAACTTCTTTTCATAGTTCCATTGAGTTATTGTAATTATATTACAGTCGCAATGCCCTGAGTAAGGAAGAGAAAATTAAGTACCACCATGATGTGTAAGCTTAATCGTAGTACAAAAGTATAATAAAAAGTAAAGGGCTATTAACACGGAATATGATAGGAAATTACAGTGTATGTAAAACTTGTTTCAAATTATTAAGGTTGCGATGAATTTAATTCCAGGTGTGCCGCTGTAATCAATTACCCTTTCGACGAGAGTGTACCATTATCGGAATTGGATCAAGTTGAGATGCTTGTTAAAATGTTTAGAAGTTCTCCAATTATTCATGTTAATAAGGTTAAAGCTCCAACCTTATTATGCATTGGATCGAATGATTTACGTGTACCTGCCTCTCAGGGAAAGTTGTGGTATCAACGTCTTAAAGCAAATAACGTAAAAACAAAGTACGTAGAAATTTTGTAAATAAAAATTTTATTTTCTTAAGTTTACAGAAGTTTACAAATTATTATTACAGGATGCTACTTTACGAGGATAATCATCCTTTAGCATCAGGACCAGTTGAAATTGATAATGTTATTAATGCTTGTTTGTGGTTACACGAACATCTTTCAGAGAAAAAAGTTGAAGATTCAGGTTTACAGAAGTAATAATAAGTACGGTAAATATTATAATCATTTCAATATTTTTTAATAATTTTATTATGAGAAATGTAATGTTTATAGTGTCATCGTGTATACATTTATAACAAATAAATTTTCAAAATATACACATGTCCGCAGCATTGCATTTTATATGTTTATAAAATTTGGCATAAATATGCTACGTATAAGTAGTGAATATATATATATATATATATGTATATATATATTTGATTATAAGTTGACAATATAGAGTACCAACGCTATACGGTACTCTAATTGCAAAACTTTATATTATTAAGTCGCAATCGATTAATAAAAATTAAAAAACAATCTCATAAATATTAAATTCATTAAATACTGTATCTTTTGAATATTTAAAAACAAAAAGCTTATGAACTATAAACAAAACGTTATCCTATAATAAAGTATCGACGTTAAATCACTAATCAATTTCAGTTTTAAGTGTCGCTTCGTGTCTTATATGTATAAGAAATTTCATTCTCACATATACTTTAATAAAACGTTATCAAATGGTATGCATCTTACAAAATGAATAAGCGGCATACAAAAATGTTCATTATTACAAATAATATTGTATACGATATCCAAAAAATTTATATAAAACGCGAGAAAAAGAACGTAGAAAAGAATTAGTTATCTCTTTTTCGAGCGCATGTTTTTCTAATTATATCTCGTTCATTCAGAAAGGCACTCATTCATACCATATATCCGAAAACTGCATTGTATACAGCAATATCTAATTAAAACATTAGATAAAATGCTGTCGATATCGGTCAGTTACACAAAGTAACATGTCTTTCTAATTACGATCTAACGGGATTACTTTGTTCTGGAAATAATGAATCATAACTAGGTGGCAGGTCTTTGTTATTAACAGAGGAAGGTACAGCAACCTCTAATATGGGTGCCGAAGGAACTGGGGGATTCGTAGATCTTTCGGCTTCGGGCGGCACTGTTCTTGCAGCATTTTGATCGGTATAATCCACAGCCCAGTATAACTTTTGTGACCTTTTACAAATCCATAGACACATAACGAATATGATGAAACACAATATCACTGTAGTTACTGCACCTATCGTGACTTTTGTACCAGTACCGGTGCTAATAATTTCATTGAGATTAACTGGACAATCCTTTTCATCTGAACAAACACCCGGTGCGCAGTTGTAAATTCCGTCGCAGAAGTATTCATTTAATAAGCAGCCGCCGTGAAATATTGGCGCGTATTCTTTCTGGTTCACCTTGCTGCAATCTGAATATTATATTATAATTACAATTTATTGCATTAGTTCACTGTATTAGTTATAATAAGTGTAATTACTTTTAAAAACAGTGTAAGCAATGCTAAGAGACAAAAATTCTCCCTCTTGTAATTTTTCATTTGAAACAAATATTTCTGTTTCTAATTCAGCTCCAGAGCTGTGGCTACTTGGATCAAATTCTGCGTAAGTTACCAGCGACGAGCCATCAGAATCCTGAACTAGAAATTTTACCCTACTACGGTCAAGGTAACCACAGAACTTTTCTGTCCGATGATGATCTTTTCTTTTAAACTGAAATATGCAATATTAAACTGTTTAGTATTCCTTCATTTAATGAATAAAATGACAAGTATTAACAAACCTGTACATAATCCAAGCACTGTGATCCATTTCGTCTAAAAGACAATTTCTGAATCACACCAAATAAACCATCTCCTTTAGCCGTTTTAATAACGAATTTGCAATGAACATTTTTACGTCCCTCGACCCACGGATCAAACATGTGCTTCGATCTTACTATTATCGTAGAATTTTTAATTTCGGTAGTTGTTGTTTTACCATATATATGACAAAACTTTTCCGAGTCCAATGAATCTGAAAAAAGAGGTTAGGAATTAAATATCCTTCATGATCAACAGAACCTCGGGATCGTGTGTCTTTTGAAAAAAATAACTCACACTCCACGTAATGATCATGAAAGGCGCATGAACTGTAATTCACGCAATTGTTTGCGAGAAATATTAAACATAAAAGATGTAAAATATCCTGTCGAGACATTTTTATAACTGTCAAAAAGCCATAAAGAACACGGTTAACGTCACTGTCAATTCCTAGGCGACTGAAGCCTATTAGTAACTCTACAGAGATCTTCCGCGAAAGGTACAAAATTGGAAAAATTATCGTCAGATTTTTCCAAGAAATCATTTACGTTTCCTTATTCACCATTTTCGCGGATACGTCATCCTTTCGTGTCTTCGTATATCAAAACAAAACGAAGGTGTGCAAAAAAGATTGATAGAGATGAAGTCACGCAAGATCGCGAAATTCGAGATATATGACTCACAGGATTACCGTTTCAAACAAAGTTAGACGCGTTACCGTAAAATTATTAATTTCTACATAAATATTTATCAGGAAATCGTGGTGATTTTCGAAACAGAATGAAAGTAATTGAGCTTAATTACGGAGATGTGGAAGTTGGTAAAACGGCGGTAAAGACGATTGAAATATGGAACGAGTCCTGCGTAAGTAATTTCATTACCGCAATTTGAAATCAATTTACTTTTAGTGAATATTTTTCTTTGCTGCGGTAATATTTATAATTTATTTCTAAAAATTACATTTTCAGTATTTTAACGATATAAAATCATTGATTTACAGAAAGAGCAAATATATCAAGCCCAAAGAGACCCAACCGCGAATCCCTTGGATCATGTTTTTCATTTGCGTTCTTATAACTGGGCTCTAGCTGCTGAAGAAAAATTTGTATGCGAAATACGCTATCGACCGTTTGTCGTGTCTCCTAAAAATGTTGATTATTTTATGATTACCGATACCAGTGGTTCATGTACGAAGATCATTGTCCAGGGATCGTGTATCGGTACCTATAATGAATATTTTAATCATATAATTATCCATAATATTTTACACGTTAACAACATTGTTGTAGGTCCCGAAGTGGTTTGTTCAATGACGAAAATGTTTATGGGCTGTACTCAAAAATGTACCGAGGTGAAGAGACGAATAAAATTGATCAACAAATCTAAAGTAGCAGCAATTTTTATGATCGACATAGACGAAAAGTATCAGGTGTTTAGGACAAGCCTAAATTGCGGTACCATCGCCTCGTCTTCTTACAAATATGTCACCATTACATTTTCACCCCCGGAAAATGGAAGATATACTTATCATTTAGCCATTTTAATTCTGCACCAAGTAAATCAACGATTTTATAATTATATTTAAAGTTAATTATATCTTTGTTGTATACTAAAATTTTCATCTAACCATCAGGAACCCATTATTATAGAATTACACGGCAGCAGTATCGCAACCGATTATAAAGAGGATGATATGACCTGTCTCAGTTATTCCTGGAAGGAGACCAATCCATTTGAAGGATACATGAGAGACACTGTTAACATATTAGGAGAATTGCCAGCTGTATCTTTATCCAAACATTATTTTAATTTCGGTCAAGCGGACGTCGACCCGGATAATATTATCCAAAGGATCCCTCACGCGATATGCTTTACTAATCATAATCAGTCGAATTTGTTAGTTCGCTGGGAAAAGGGTAATTCCATTAAGCTCGTCAGCTGTAGATTTATTTAATATCAAACAGTAATTATTTTTATCTATCGTAGATATCGATGGGATTTTTACTATAACGCCTTACAAAATGCACGTTCGCGCCAATCAATCGGCTCTCTTTGAAGTCACGTTCAATCCAAATGCGAGAAATAATCTTTATGGAAGAGAACTCATCGCCTCTGCCTTTTTCGAACAGCAACAGGATGTGTATTTTCCGATCATTATTTCGGTCAGAGTGATAGGTTTGATATTTTACCATGAAAAATTTATGAACTTTGGATTAACATATGGATTTTGTAGGTCATTCTTTTCCCATTTCGTCTAACGGATGGATCCCGCAATACGAGATACCTCAGACTGTAATAATGCCACCATGTGTCCCACCAATCCCAGTTTATACAAGTTTCTTAATCAAAAAGTTTGGTCATTTACCAATGATGTTTCAATTCGTTTCACCACCAGCCAGTCACTTTGTTGTAAAGCCAATGCTCGGTGTAATTCATCAGTACGAGATCCTTCTTTTTATTATATTTATTGATAATTACTGTTTATATTTAGTAGGTTGAATTTGTCATTGAATTGCAGTAATTATCAAATAATTGTTGTTGAAATGATACCGGAGAATAAAAACGAACAGATTTATATAGAACGATGGACGGTATATTTCAACGGGAATACGAAAAATGAAAGTTACATAGATTTGAAGGGATACGCGGAATATGCAAATATCATGTTTTGCAATAACAACGTGTTAATTTTCCCAGCGGTGATGCCGCATTGTCAGCAATTTGTCCAACTTGGAATGCGAAATGTAACTCGTCACAAAATTCGGTGATTCATCGTGTTCTCATATTATAAATTATACTGAATTTCATAAATTAACGAGAGACATTTGTAGGTACCGATTTTATCAATTGCCATCCGAATTCAAGATACAAGATGAAACCGGAGAAATCGAACCGAACGATACTTTATTTCAAGAATGTTCTTTCTCTCCAATAGAACCGAACATTGACTACGATTTTGAAGCACAATGCGTTTTGCTTGTTATAAAAAATGACACTATCGTAGGAACAAAGTGTTGTGTAACATTACGAGTTCGTGGAAGATGCGAAATGGGTTTCTTGGAGGTGATATCTTTGTTAAAATGATTTTAAAATAATTGTAATTCGAGAGAGTCTATCTTCCCTTTCGTTCAATGTTTCAGGCAATTCCAAACGAGTTAAATTTCAACGAGATGGAATATAATACCACAAAAACGTTGTTTTTCGATCTTGTTAATTTTAGTACAGTAAACATCTACTACACATTAATATGTACCCATACCAGTTGGCCGATCGGCGATATCAAAAAGGATGTTGAGATATCTCCAGCATCGGAAACAGCTTTTTCAGGAACGCGTAAAAAAGTCACAGTTACTATTACACCTCGTACACCAGGATTTTACGAATTTGCTGTTGAATATTTATTAAGAATCAATTATCGGACAGATAAAATAGTATCCTCGGAAAAGGCAAGAAGAATTTGTATGGTGAACTGCATGTGCACCTTACCATCAGTGAAGGTATAGTTCAAATTTCTTCAATAATAAATAATTATTTTAGAATTACACAAAAATCTGATAATTATATTTCTTACATAGCTGAAGAACGTATGCGCTTTTGCATACAAACAAATTTATTCGGTGAATATAAGCAAGCCATTCTTATGGAAAGCATTAAAAATAAACAAGTATAGTTATGTTACAATTATTGGAAATTTTTATTATATAATTATTCATATTTTTTAGAATGAACGAAGCAATGAAAATCATGCTGCCGGGAGATAAGAGGAATGTAAAAGCCGAACTTTTTCCGATGATTCTAAACAGTGGATCTATTTTGTTAAAATTTATTTTTGTAAATCCTACGAATTTCCCCGTTTCGGTGACTATAAAACAGTTGAAAAGGTGTTCTTGTAAACCATATGTAAAGAAAGTTGGAATTTCATTGCAACGCACAGTGATCGATTGTGTGCATAAAGATCTCTGTGTGGTAAATCCAACGTCAAAAATATTGGAAGTACGGGTTTTCAATGTTTCCAAAGTATATCGTTAAGTTAAGAAACTAATGAAAGAACGAATATATTGTAGCCGAAGCAAGAATTTGTAATTGGTGTCGAACTACATTTCACGTTAGCCGGGAAATCGTACATATATTGGGACGTCAACATAGGACATGATCGTCATATAATTCTAAAAATAGGTCTCGAATGTTTGATCGAATCTGAAACACCAGATTATTTTTTAAGCGACAGATACATGACATTCGGAAAAATTTATTTCGGCAATAGGGAGCCTATTTATAAAGTACATTTTGAATTAATCGCTTGTATTTGATATAAAATTATGAATAATGTGGAGGAATTTCCAGACATGTTGGATACATAATATTACAAACAAAAGTTTGCCATATTCGGTGAACATGAATAACATTCGCAAATTAAACGAAAGTTATTGCTGTGAAGTATTTTCTTGCTTAACTTCCGGTGGTATCATCGAAGCTAATACGATTGTACCATTAGTTTTAAAATTTCAGCCTAGAATGTTTGGAGAATATCAGGTGAAAGCATTTAACGTTAGTCGATGATAGAACTACAATTAAATTATATTACGTTTTCCAGGTGACTATTCCGGTAACTATGGGTGATAAAACGTCAGAGTTAATATTAAAAGGAAAAGCATCTCATTACTTCAAATCAACTGATTTTGGGAGAACAATACCACCACATTGTGCTTGTAAAACTGAATTGTTTCCTGCGTATTTCAACATAGATTGTATCGACATGTGGGCTGTACCTATGTATAATCACGTCATTAAAATGCTCTTAGTTTATAACAATTTAGATTACGCTGCACTCGCTTATGAATGGAAATGGTACTCGCACAATTTCTGCTTGCTAACAAGCTTCCAGTTTCTCAATTTTATCAATTGGTAAATTACAGTCAATATGTACCAGGCATCATTTCCGTGGACGTATTTCCACAAAAAGGAATAATAAGACCAAACGCAGTACAAAGTTTTAGAGTAAAAATCCGAACCAAAGGACAATCTGGTAGAATTGATCTTAACGTACCTTGTGAATTTCTGAACGCTAGTGAAAGAGGAGAATATCAAAGAAGCGTTATTAGATATGATATTCTGTGCAAGGAATTGGAAGGACAATTTAAGATCACGGAAAAAGGCACTTCCGTGCCAGTAAGTAATTAATAATTAGTGAAACAATTAGGTATTATGAATGATGTTTCGTATTTTTGTAGGAACCATGGATAAAAATATTGAAAAAACCAGAACCATATTGCAAAGTACTAACTCTACGGTGTACCATAGTTCCTATAGAAGACGAACATTTAAGAATGAGTTTAATGGAGGAATTAAAAGCTACTCCATCAAGTACCATTTACTTTGACGATCGTAAAAATTATAATATTACAAAAGATGAAAATGAACTTTCTATGGTTGCGTTTATTTTGGAAGGCATATTGTGGTAAAAGTTCATAATTCAGTAGAATAAATTCTGCATGCATTAGAAGGTGTTTCGTTATATGAAGATGTTAATTTTATTTTAAAGGGACATTATTAACAGTGAACGATTTCAAAAAATGATGGAAGAAAGTTTGATTCCTGGACGCAATTTATATTATTCACAATTGGTGATGGATTTGGCAGAGCGCAAAAGATTGATTAGAAGGTCTTACATATCGCCACCATTAACATTAACTAATTCAATCTTTGAAAAAGTAAAAAAAAAAAGAATTAAATTATCCGTGAAGAGGCTTTAAGCGACTAATGACTATGTTTTAGATGTTATTTTCTACAGTACACGATGAATTCTCATTAAAGACTTCGCACTTGGTTCCCAATGAAGATATAAGACATAAAAATTACATTAAAATGTTGCCTAAAGAAAAACGAATCGATCTCGAACAGGAGAAACAAGGTAGATCTATTGATATTTATATTGTAATAAGTGATATCATATTGAATAATATTTTTTGTAGATCTTTATGAGAATGCAGTTGATGACGAATATGATGATGAGTTTGATACCATAAGGACGCGAGTTAGAGTGTCCTTTATAGACTAACTATAAAAATAAATTTTAATATTAATTTATTTCTTTATTATACGGATCAGGAATGCGTTTGAATACAGCGAGAAACTTATCTCCTTTATTTCTGGTCACTTTTTGTCCTTCTTCCGTGCTTTCGTACAACTTCTCCACAATAGGATCTTTATCCTTTGGAAACAAATAATTTTAAATAAAATGGTAATATATTTTAATTAATAATATGAAACTTACCAATTCTTCTTTAGGAACTTCATCAAATAATGGATGTTCTTGAAAATGACTCACTATCCATTCATGTAAGTCCTTGACATCTGTCACTGTATATACAATGGCCTTTAAATTATAATTATAATTAATTAACAATGCAGATATGGAAAATAAGTGTTAACATTAGATTTTATAAATGATCTTACTCCTTCAGCTAACACATAAGCATATTCTGCCAGAAGTGTTTTGTTTATTATTCTCCATTTGTGTTTTGATTTCTTAAAATGTGGATCTGGGTATAAAAAGAACATTTTCTTTAGCTGCAAAGATATAAAACGTTAATTAATCAAAATGAATCAAAATTATTATCATAAAAATAAGGCTATACCTTGTTGTACCTGGCCTTTGTGAAAGTAATTTGGCAAATACTTCATTGCATTAGTTCTTAAGCATGCAATATTTTGATACTGTCCAGGATGTTGTGATCTTAAAGCAGCTATACGATCCATAACATAGTCAGACACTTTTACTCTGATCTCCATACCAACAATCAAATTGTCAGGAAACATAGGTGACAATGTAACTGGGAAAACATATTATTAGCATCTTAAATATTAATGTATTTGAAATTCAAACCTGAATTCTTACCAAGTAATCCTCCATAGCCACAACCGATATCAGCAAATTCAACACATTTGTTTGAAACATTGTTTTCTTTAGACTCTTCTTTGTTGATGGAAAAATAATGTGGAAATAGTGAACTCCAGTCCATTAAATTAGGTTTTATGGGACTGAAATTACATTTTAGTATAGAATAAAATAATGTTCATATGATACTTACAGGTAATATAACAATGATTTCATTAATAAATTATGATTTTATTACAAAATGTAATTACATACTATTCTATACAGTGGTCTGCTATCGGATTCGAATGGGCACGTTGACGATAATACTTTTTTTGTGGCAATGGTAGCGGTTCTGACATGATGATACTTGGTTAAAAACAAATCCACATGGCGAGGAGACTTAACCTAATCTGAATGAAACCTAGCCAAACCGACTACATACATATAAATATATGTTTGCAACATTTTTATTTACAATCGAAAAGATTTTGTACGAGGCTTCTATTCACTTGTAATTTGACGCTAATACAAAAGGAGACATTTCAAAATATGATTGTAAAAATAAATTATAAATGCAACACAATTTGTTATAAACAAATTAAGTGGATCAAAGTATTGAAAAGGTAGCACATAACAAGAACATTTTAAACTAATGATTCTTTATTTCAATATTTCTTTACAGATGTTCAACTTCTCTGTCAATCTGATCTTCGAATATTTTCAGCGAAGATCATCTTCTTGTAACAGGATTTCAGAAATACGTTGAAAGTTATTCTTTAAAAAATGAGTCTTATTTGATATCAGAGAAAATTATTTACTGAAAAATAATGTAGATTGCCATGAAAAATGTATGCAAGAGGTAGGGGTTGTAAGATACGGAATATGAGTTACTTTAACTACAGTTATGATGTGTTATTACGAAATAACCTCCAAGCATTAGGAGCGCAGAATATTAAAAGAGGTGTTAATATAGAGGGAGGATGTCGTCATATTAACTGTGAATTGGTGCCAGAACGGGTCTTCTGATACCAGGATTACAGAAAGTGGCAGGAAGTCGTAGATAAAGAGAGAAAATTACTAGACAAGGATAGCGACCTTTCCGTTCACATCATAATGGCCGCTACCCGCTCAAAAATGCTGTAAAAATAATAACATATTTTACATTCTTTACGAAAAAGTTGTCAACTTTTATAATTTATTTTTTAAATACGCACCTGTAAAAACATTTAGGTATACGTTATGTCACGATTTTATACGGATTTAATTAATTATTAATGATTTCAGAAACAGTTTGCCGATGCTCGATTACGTCCTATTGTCTTATTTATTTGTCCCATTTTGAGTAATATTTTATGCATTTTGAAGTGTGTATTACATTCTACGAACAGTTCTTAATCATTTTCAGTGATTTTCGTTCATGTTTTACCCTTATTTTATTAATTATAAATAATTTACCAACAGGTGCTGGGATATGAAAGTCACGCAGTTCAGGCGATTGTCGTTAGATGGCGCCACCGTCAGTTTTTGAACAATTGAACACAATTCGCTTGATTTGGAGTAGTGGTACCAGGAGCGTAGAAGATGTAAGGAGGTCCGTCGTCAAAAGGTTAATTGCCGCGAAAAAATGAACTCTGTTTTTAAAATATTTTTGTATTTCATTTTACAATTAGAACTTAGTGTATTGTATAATCAATTGTGTTTTTACAGCTACTTCAAACTACATTTTTAATATGGTAACGCTGGTTAGCAGATTGTGAACCGAATTAAGAGTTCAGCACCCCGAGCGTGTACATCGACGCTGACACGCACCTACGATCAAATACGTAAGTAAATGTATCATTTTATCTGACAGTAACCAAATTTTATGTCAGTTGCTTATATTTCGTGAATGATTCACGAATCCTTATTGTTTCGCAAATTCAGCCGAAACGAAGTGCGTGTCGTTAACCTTTCGAACTGACGCCCAGTCATTTGTGAAAATTTCAAATGGGATTATGTATCAAAAAAGGCATAGAAAGTATAAAAATAATGTTTATTCATCATTCATGGCGTAGCATTTTTCCTGATAACACGGATTTTCAAAATTAAATTACAAAATTTGAATAATGATAATTATTAGTAATATCGAGCATTGTGTATAGGGCACTGGCCATGGCGCACGTGCATGAAATATCAGCTGTGCAATATGGCGTCAGCGCCACCTAGTAAGTGACGCTTAGCGAATCGAGCGAAAGACGGGGAGATTACTTTTTTGTCACGATTTCGCGGTGTGATAAGTTGAATTTTTCATATTGTGTAATTAACACGATGCGATCCGTGACCGAACGAATAATGGTGCTTCTAATTCATTGTAGTGCGGTTCGTATCTTCGAATAACGTGGTTGGCGATCTCGAAAGGGTCCCTCTCTCAGGTGAGGTTAGAATCCATTCGACAAAAAGCTTTTCACTATTGTGATGCGATTGAAATTTGTTTTAAAGAAATCGAATCTTTTTAAAAAGTAATAAACAAAACGTTATAGTAGCATTTTAATATAGTTAATGTTTAAATAAAATACGACCATTGAAAATATCTTTGTTTTTCAATTCGTGTCTTTCATTGAAATAACAAGTTCTTTATTCTTTGTCACGGCAGATTTGTGCCATGATAATGACATTCGTATTATTTTTATTTAATATCGTTTCCCGCGAGAAAGAACATATTTCATTACAAACAAATGAACTTCTCATTGCAGATTTTTTAATTTTAATTTTGTGGTTTAATATTGTTATTTCAGGCGGAAGAACTACGATTTTATCATACATGACGACAACGGATGTCCGGAGTAATCGATCTTCTGTTTGATTGGTGAGTTTATTAAATATGGATCTTTTGTATTGTTTGATAGTAGATAATATTTAGCATTACATACATGAAATGGTAGGTACGACATGTATTTAGTATAGAACAATTCAATCCTTAAAATACCGCCAAATAAACCTCGATAAACGTAAATCTACGATAAACCCGTCGAACAAATAATCTACAACTAATTACATAAGCCAATAGAAAGGAATTTGATAAGACAACGATTTCTTACAACCAAGTTGAATAGCTAGTTCGCTAAATTCTAAAGAGAAAGGGTTATTGATTTAATAACGATATTCAAAAAAAAGCAGTAGACTTCGTCTTTCAGTCGCGCAATTTTCCAAAAACGCTACAAATGCGATAACTTATTAAGGCGACGGTGTTTCATTTATCTGCAGCCCAGATTATTTACACAGGAAAAAATAATTACGGTTCTGAAAGTTGTACGAATTCCTTTCCGAAAACATCAACCCCCCATAATTAATGATCGAAAACATAGGATCAAGAGCAGGGACGCCGAGAAATATTTTCAGTAAAGTTTGAATGCGTTCACTGTTGAACACGTTTGAACGGTGTAGTTAAATTTCTTATGTACGGTTAGAAATACATGGAAATACATGAATTCGTAAACACAAACGAACAAAGGTGTCCATTGGTCTTCGTGAATACGTGCGGCGAAGTTGGGTGCCAAATAGTCTGTCGAAGTGTTTCTAACTTTACGTGTCGTTAAACAATATGAACTCATGGCTGCCAGATCCACGGATGTGGTTGACGTTCGATTCGGATTCGAGCTGGGTAAATAAATCTTTCAAGATCATTTTAACAAACCGTGCGACGCGGTAAGCGGATCGTACACCATTGCGTGCCGTGGCGCGACAGTTACGCGACGAACTAACCAAAATGGCCAATATTCGATCATCGTTACATGGAAATTGATCGAAATTGATTTCCAGATTGTTTACTTCGACCACGGCACGCGAGAGTCATTCTTATGGAATGCAATACGTAAAATCGAGTTATCAATCGCTTTCGGTAAACAAATTATACATAATTAAAAATTGATATGTAGATCCTAAAGTACGCAATTAAAGTTTCAATTTATATTTACACGGTGCTTGATATTACTGGGAAGAAATTTCACCCGTTAATTGAAGCATCGATAAAATGTATCTTTCTACAGAATGGTTTTTAATTTAGCAACCGTTCGATTCACAAAATCGCGAAGGACGCGAAATGTGGTGGTAAGTTGGCAGCGGATTCCGTAGTACATAAGTACTCGATTCATCTGCTGTTATCTGAAAAGAGCTGTCCTACTTATTTATATTTGTGTGTTTGCCACCGAGAACGATACGAACGATCGTCGGCGTGACCGAGTTTCACTTTGAATTCGCTGAGAACTCGGCCGTAATCTCGTTTTCTTTTACCCTCGTTTACCTTCCTCCTCGGCGTTCCCCGTGAAATTGCTCCGTTTCGATCTCGAATCTAATCGAAGTATATCGAGCGGAAGTCGGACGCTCGTAAATCGATTTTTAAAGAGGATGGGAATAGGATCCGGTGTGCAAATTCGAGTGGAAATAATCCACCAAAGTTTAATAGGCTTTACAATAGGAAATACTGAAAATAATAAATATTAGGTATCGAAAGCATTACTTAGCAAAAATATTAATACACAGCGATAGAAATCCTTTCTCTCGATCTACGACCATACGCGTGAAAATAATAAATATTAGATATCGAAAGCATTACTTGGCAAAAATATTAATACATAGCGATAGAAATCCTTTCTCTCAATCCACGATCATCCACGCGTACAATAGAAAATACTGAAAATAATAAATATTAATCCATTAACTGCCAAATTTTTATTTTCGATATTTAACATAAGTGATAAAAAAAAATCCCCCTTTGGGGATCGTGGTAGCAAATGGATTAAGTATCGAAAGGATTACTTAGGAAAAATATTAATACAAACCGATAGAAATGCTTTCTCTCCATTCACGACCACCCGCGTACAACAGAAAACGTGATTCCCGTGGAATCACCGCGGTAAAAGAGCGCGCTTACGATGACGCGGGTTACTCTCACCTGTACATCCCACTCGCGTTAGAGCAAAGTTACCGTTAACGAACGCTCGAGTTATCGGGTCGATCGTGTACCGTGTCGAGTTGTAGAATAAGAGCCCCTTCCAATTTTAGACGACCGTATAAAATCACGATCTCGTCCCACTCGTCGTTTTCACCAGCAGCCGAGTGTACGATAGGAGGAGGATGATCCGTCCACGTGGATCGCCCACATGCGTCAGGTACCGTGGCCGCGGTTAATTGTTCCCGACGCCAGTCCGCGAAGGATGTTGGCTCGATCGAGTACCGTGAAACATTTGCTCCTCGAAAAATTCAAATATTCTCACACGATTATCGATCGTCCTATCCAAACGATTAACTCCATCGTTCGTATAATAATTTATAAAGTACCTCTGCTCATCGAATTGGACACGAAATGTTTTCGTTGTAATCTTCGAGCTGGTATTGATGTTCTTTTTTTTTTCTCTTTATTTTCTTTTTAAATTGATGTTTGTTGAATTTTGTCCGATGATTGTTAATAAAGAATTCAGTGCGCGTTTCACTGTCGTCACGCATTCATTTGTAACACAGGTGTAACTCGTTCCCGATGGAAGTTTTTTTTTTTTTTTTTTTTGACAGTCTCTTTTAGGATAGTGAAGTGGAATATTTCTGAATAACCGTACGGTGTTAAACGACGATACCGAGGATGTTGTATCGTTTCTTGGGAACGGAAGCTTAGTCATGGAAAGTTCTTTCGAGCGTACAAAGAAATTGCTCGGTGACATTTCATTTTGCGGATTAACTTGCCAAACACTGATGTATTTATAGAGAATTTATTGAAGTTTATGTAAGTAGGAGAACGCGGTGAATTCCAGTGTGTGTAGTTTAGTGTCGAATATCCAATAGCTTTGATAATTACAGAAGATTAATTTTATTCGTCGCGGCAATGAAATTCGATTCATAAAACACTAAATGTAGATAATTATCCTTGGGAATCGTTTCGACTTATTAGAATACCGTCGCGACTTCTTCTTTATTTTTTATTATTTTTAAAAGAACGTCACGTTATTTGCCTTGACTCGAAGCATAATTCATTGGAGGAAATCGTGAATCAGAGATACCTCGAGATAATGAAATTGATGATTGTTTTACAATTTGCAAACTACGAAAGTTCTTTGCTTACGGAATATAGGGATAATTAAAGTGTTCCATTTCGAGTTAAGATTCTCGGTAATTATTATTTTACAAACAGTTGTTACACATGGAAAGAAACGCAAGGACAAACTCATGGTTAAGCTAATGTTACGTAATCTATCCATTTATCAACCACTCGAGAAGAAGGCGGTATAATTGGCGGATAATTAAAAAATTAGTTCGATTATCAAGAAAATCCAGTGCGCTTTTCTTTCCATTGAAAAATTCATAGGTCGGCTTTGTATTCGATCAGCTGATTTATCGATTTCCTCTTAAACGCGTACCCTTCGATTTTGCTCGATATCTTGATTTGTTCGATAAAACCGTTACTGATTTTTATCGTTCCATTAAATCGATGAAAACCTCGAGGCAATGAACAATATTTATATTGAAAATTAAACGAGAAAAATCGTGAATCAATCCAGCCGATACGAATGAAAATTAATTAACAAGTATCGTTAGATTTTTTGTGAAATTTCGACGATAAACGATAGTGTATTCTGATTTACTATTTCCAAGACGAATAACTTTGCTACTTATAGGATGACCCAATAATTAAACTTCATTTTCATCGTTAACGAGCATAAATTACGCTCAATGAGACGGAAGAAACTGGTCACCGATTTTAATAACGATTATTTAAAACTGTGAAACGTTATTTAACAACGAACCGGTTCGTTCTGTTTAGCGAGTAGCAGGTTAAACATTTTATTATATTATCTCGGGTATCAGCTTCAAACAAGTGTTTAATGTAACGAAGGTGTTCCGCTTGAAAATTTCGCGAACAACCACGGAGAGAGACCCATTCGATAGAAGTTCGAGCGATAGGAAGCATCGATATCTGAACGTTCGTCGAAGGAAAATTGAGATAATATGTCGCATCTTCGAGTGAAAGCTAAATCGTCGAGCTGCAAAGGTCCCAAGAGATTTTCTTCCCATGGAGATTATCGGAAGATACAGTTCGCCGCGTTGAAGGGTCATTTAGAGCATCGTCTTCACGAGGTAATGAACACGATATGTAATAACACGTTAACACCGTTTCAAAATCGATTTTTCATTCGAAGAGGAAACTTGTTACACTTTGAATAAGAAAGAAAAATGATTTCATCGAACAGATGAACTGATACACTTTCGTTACTCCATAATCATTCGTCTCAAAATGAAATTATTCATCTCTAATATACATAAACATTGAAATGAAACGGATAAAATAACATTTTAACCTTTCTTTAGGTATCCGGAGCGATCATTTTGAATTAGAAAATAGAATCTAAATCAAAGCCAGCCGTTTCCTGTTACCGTAACTCGCGTTCAACTGCCTCAATTAATCGAGCCTGTCTCTTTTGGATCGAACTCAAAGTTCCCTTCCAAGAATCAACGAGAATTATAGTTTTTGATCACAGTGTGGCCACGTACGTTAACGCATCGTTGTCGTCGATCCTCCTCTAACGCGACTTTAACTAACCCGATCCGCTACTATTTTCGTTTACCTTCGACGATGTGCCAATGCACTGGGTGCAACACTGATTTATCTGTCTCCATTCTCGCGGAGACAACGAAATTCGTTCACCACTGCCAGAACCCTCGTCATCGATGCTAACATCCTCCCGTAGATAGGAGTTGGGTGCCAAAAAAGAATTCACGGTCGAGGGGTGGATCGATTCGAAACAAAGGGGGTTGTATTTAAGGCAGCTAATTAATTGGTACACCCAATATCGGATGTTAATTATGGATTTCTATTAATTGTAACGATTAACGCTATAATGTATGAAATGAAATTAATTGCGATATCACATTGGTGCTAATGTGATTCATTAATGGTAGTATATCTTCGTCTATCTATCGCATTGCGATACGATGCCAAAAATGCTTTTACGCGACGATCGTCGGTTCTTTCGTACGCTGTGAACGTAGATAATTGATTGATTGATATATATTTTTAAAAATACACCTCGTGTGTTGCGAATATCTAACGATTTCTGAAAAAATTTCTTCGAGTACAGTATTCCAACATTTATATTTCTCCCAGATATCGTATCTGTTATACAGACGGTCAGTTTCTTATCGATAGCCCCATTATCAGAAACCGTGTCCACAGAGCGACGATAATTGACAACATTTTTCAAGCTTACTTCACAGTGTGCGATCGAACGCGATCCACGATGCAACGAATTGATTATCATATTTTATAATTTTATAACATCGAAACGTATCACCCCGACAGTGAACTATTTCTACTATCGATCGTATATCATTTTTCACAATTTTCGTTTCTATTATGAAAATCATAATCTTCTATTAAGATGAATTCAGTGAAATATTATTTTACTAAATCGTAACCCTTTCTTCTTTCGTGAAACAATAACCGTGAAAAGAAATTGTTACGAAAGAAGATTGTGCGAGATAAAAATCGGTAATTCTTTGTTTATACAAAGAATGGGCGCTGAAAGGAATGATAATTAGTCTTGTTAAAGCGAAAGGAAAAATTTATGATTTTCATTGAGAAACAGTGATAATTCCATTAAATTTGTGTCGTGCACGATGAAAAGGGGCAACGATCCAATTCCTTGTGTATAACGATCGTTCAAAGGGGACTTATGGGTGCTATTTACACACGAATAATGTAAAAGTATATTTGCATATGTCAAAAATCTGTCGTTAAATTATGTCAGTCTACGTTTCACCTTCTTACATTTTGGAATCATCCGAAGATACCGTGAGTGCTTATATTGATTTAATTTCCAAAACTTCTACCTTCGTCAAGAATCGTTGATATTAACCCTAGGAATATCAGCAAGATTTATACAAAATTTATGAGAAAAAAAAAATTTCTCTCTGGCAGTCGATGATATTGCAAGGGTTAATTGTTAAGTAGAAATTTAATCATTCGTGCGAGATCTCTTATCGAGTACGCGAACCCGGTGGTAACGAGCGTGTTCTCGTGAACTTCGTTACGTTGTTGCCCCTTCAAGGAAAATTAATGTGCTTTCCTATCTACGCTTTTGTTCTTTCTTTCTTTCTGTTTTTCTTCGATTACCCAGCAATCGATGTTCCCTCGTACAGTTTCCACGTTGTTGCTTCTGGATACACGCGTACATTCTCTAGAATTTCACGATAAAATGATCTGGAATCGGTTAAAATTACCGAGGCCCAGATAAAACTTGGTAAATACAGAAAAAATTATCGTCTGTGCTTTTAATTAGTTCCAAGATACATCTTGGATTTTAATAAACAAACGGTTCTTGCCGCGGATAGAAGTGCTTTGTTCAATCGTGTACGGTGTGAAATATTTCAAGAAAGCGTGTGTACGCTTTGAATATGGTGGTTTTGTCAGCCGAATGAAAAAAACAAAAGTGAGAATCAATAGAACGAGACTGTGTTTCCTCTTGGATATTTGTTCAACCGTGCCAATTTGTTTCTTTTCCTCTTCTTTAGTGAATACGTGGAAGAATTGGAAATTGTGAATGATTAAGCTTTAATTAGGGAAAAGTGAAATTTTAATTAAAGATATGAACGAATGTGTTGTTAATGATAAATTTTTGTCGACGTAGCGCCAATTAATATTGTCGGAATATGAGAGTATTTCCGGATGTTGACCTGCTTTCCATGGAATACTCGAATGAGAGGAGTAGTTTACTGAATTCGGAACGAGATGTAGGATCGTTGTCGTCTTTGATCCCACAGGGATTGGCTCGGGGTCATTATGGCTCCTTTTCATCCTGTCAACAGGTGATACAGTCGATCTGGAACAAAAGTAAACAGGTATTGATAATAAAAAAGAAAACTGTCAGACGGTGAAATTTAAAAACGTACATTTATTTATAATACTTACAGGATGCGACACGAATCGGCGATGAATTTTTTTTTCCAGACAATCGGTGACTCAACAGTTCCTGAGAAATTTCGAATCCTTATCTGAAATATTCAAAATATCTCACGAACTGTTGAATAATCAGTCTGCATAAAAGAAAAATAGAATTACTTTCTTGAAATCTGGGTAATTTCTTTATACTGCAATCGATAGAACGAAACGTTAACATCTGTTTCGTAATTCCTAAAGAACCTACAGGTGGATCTTCGAAAACTTAAGAGATAAAGCACTTTACCAGTTGATCGTTTGCCTAAGAGACGTGTGCCAAACATTTTTCCACGTGTTTCGAAAGATAAATGAGATGCGCAACACTGTTTTCGTACACGAACGGATTACAGTGGATCCTTTGAACGATTCGTTATTGCCTGACGGATTTAACGCGTCTAATTACACGACAGATTTACAAGATTCTAAACTCTTTAATTTCGAGTAGCTCAGCCTACTCCGTTGCTCCGCGATGAAATAACTACAGTGCCGTTAGAATTATCTTAGCATGTTTTCTCAGCGATATTGTTCCTTTTTTACGACGCCTAGTAAACGACATACACGGTTCGTACACAATTGATTAGTTTGCCGAGCGGGTTTAATTGGCCCAAGTGCCGCGAACAGCGGCAAGGACGCGCATACTTCTCGTTTAACTGTAGGAAAATATTTTTCGAAACATTCTTCCCTGTTTCAATTTTTATTCAAACGATTCCTATAATTGTCTAAGATAGTTTCGGCGTCACTGTAAAATGACTATTCATTTTTATATCAATCGGGAATCAAGCTTTCCATTATTATTATCAGCGAATTATCTTCTATTTGCTCGATCGTAGTGTAATGAAATTTACGAGCGAAGCCTGGTCAGTTTTTTACCAGTAAAACAATTTGCCAGCCTTTGCGTAATTACTGCTCGCATTCCACGATACGGGAAATTAAAAAAAAAAAAAAAAACACGGAAGTAAATGTTGAAAGGTTAAATATTTGTTTGTTGACTCCATGGAATTGCGAAAAATTTGCATACTCTTCCTATCGAACGGAGGAAGATGGAAGAATTCCCGATCGCGAGTTTATTCGGAGTGACGAATGCGTACACGATTGTTACACGCGATTCCGCTCAACTGTGTACACGACTTTAAAGATCCCTGGTCGGATATATAAATGTCGCCACGATGTTCCACGCGATGTTCTTAAGCGATCTGCTGACGAAGCAGATCGCACGGGTTTCGAGTGAACCGTGAAACGCGCGCGATTTTATCAGCTACGATCGAACCCGGAAGAAAAGTCCCGGAAACGGTTGTGAAACTGACACGACCAACAGGCGATGACGACGAGAAATTTGGAAAAAATGCTCAGACTCACCACTTTGTCCAGGGTCCGTCTTTTTATACGGTATATTCGTTGTAACCGAAAGGAAACGAAGATTTCTTAGATCAATTTTTCATAGATTTTATTACTTTTCCAGTGTAACAATAGACTATGGTATTTCATGGTAAAGAACATTTCTTTTTCATTTTTTTATTTAGTCAATTAACAAATCTCTCGCTTCGCATTCTCATTCCCCGTATCATTTACGATCGCTTTAATACTTAAACATTGATACAAACAGAATTAACGAGGAAGCTTAACGTTTTATTCGTGGTTGCTCTACAATTTCTCCGAAGTTGTTCGTCATAATTATTCTGCGTATTTATCTAGTACAGCTTCTTTCTCGAATTGTGAGGAGTCGCGTTGAGGAAAGAATGCCATGCGGAAGGCCAAAGATGATCGTATCAAGATCACGACGCATCATTTTCGCATCAGTATCGAGGAGGAGGATGACGATGAGAAGAAGGAGGAGGATGAAAATTCGAGCAGAGATACAGAGAGAGGAATCTCGATCACCATCGAAGCGGATTCTGTGATAACCGGAGAGGATGAAAATGTGAGCGAACAATCGTTTTCTATAAAAAATGAATCGAAAGAGTCATTGGAAAGCTGTGATCGTGAAAAGCTCGATCGAAATCAGAGCCACGAATCCAAGACGTCGAGTGATTCGAAAGAGAACGATTTTGATCGAGAATTTCTCTCGAAAAATGCCAGAGATGAAATCTCGACGAGCGCGGACCAGAAAGAGAGGCCGGAGGTTATTCGTTCTAGGAGACACTCGGTGGAGTATGAACATGCAAATTCGATGAAACACATAGATTATAGTTTCGCATCGAGTTCTCTTCCTTCTACCAAACTTTTCCAGCCAAGGGATACAGTTTACGATCCACCGGTTGCATTCGAGATTCCTAGATCGAACAGCGAAACGCAATCGTCGAGTTTAACGAGGATAGCGAATCCATCGAATGAAGAAATACACTCGGTGATAAATACAGAGATACAAGAAAACATGGTACTAACCCAACGAAACAGGAGTTCATCCGTTTCAGGTTCGCCATTATTGATCAGAAGATGCTACAAAATCAGATCCACCGTTTCTAGATCATCCAGTTTGAACGAAAGTTCCTCCGTATCGAAGGACGAGGATCCATCTACGATGGATCGTCCGAGTGACTCTCAGATCGAGGAAATAAAAACAACCCGAAGACGGACACTGCCAACGATCGATGGTAATCCTTCGGAAAACGCACCTAAATCGCCGACTTACGAAGATATAATATCAGGGACCGGTGTGAATCCTATCAGACGATCGAGTATCGCTAACGCGGCTATTTGCTCGAGTTTAGCACCGAGTTTGGTCAGCGCTTATCCAGGTATTCCAAACTGCTTATTACCAGCTGGTGAGAACGAATCGTCGAGGAACGAACAAGAAGCTGGATCGAGCGGGATAAACGGACGGAGATTAAGATTGCCTTTTCTTAAAATACACATACCCGCGCATCAACCGGCGACCAGCTGGGAGGAGGAACGATTTAATCATTCGTATTATCATCACCATCATCATCATCATCATCACCATCACGTGTTCCCGCATTTTCACGTACCCACCATCACGTTCACCGCGCCAGCCACCGATGGTGAAACTGGCCGAAAATTCAACTTTGGAATTCACAGGCATTCGCAGCCGGTTAGTCGTGATTCTGCCCTTCGAGATTTCGAGTGATTTTTATTTTCACGTAATCGATGTGCATTAATTTCCTTTTTTTTTTTTTCAAGGAAAAAGATTTGAGATGACTGATCAGTGTTGCGATTGCAATTAACCCTTTTCAAAGATACATGTTGCTTTAATTAATAAGACTGCAAACTAAATTTAAAAAAAAAAAAAAGAAATTGCTTCTTTGGTGTAAAAATGTATATGTATCACCATTAAAACTACCCGTCGCTTTTAATTAAAATAATTATTAGGTGCCGTAGAATGTATTTAAAATCAACTTTCTCCTATTCAGTGGTAGTTTACAGGAAGAATAGTTCCATTTACTATTGCAATCAGCTTTATCAAGGAGTGACGCACCGATATTGTTGTCAGAATATAGGGCACGGTTTAAACGCGAAAGCCTCTGAAACAGTTTCAAGCTGGTTTCTTCCTTAATAGCCTTGAGAGGAGGTCTATTGATTTTATACACACGAGCCTATAGTATCATCAGAAATCAAACGATACGTTCTTTAATCATTTAACAAATTACCAACGAAATAAAACATGCGTTTTCCGCGTTTCTCTTATCGATATCCCGTTTCCTTATCGAACCGCGGCTTGCACTGTGCAAATAAATTTTAATGCTCGATCCTCAGGTGTGTTGCAAGTATCTTAGATAAAAGATTTAACGACTCTGACCGTCTTCATTTTAATATTTCCTTCGGTTTTTCATAACGAACTCTCTCGCGTTCACGCTTCAATGACGTTCATTTTAATTCCAAGCATTGAAATTCTAAACAGAAACATGCTTTAACAATGTCACGGTCAATGATTATTAATCGCAGTTCCGAGAAATAATTCTACTACTTATGAATGAATAATTGTACCATACATATTCATGAACGCTATCAATTATTTACTATCTCGCATTGAATACGTTAATTGAAAGATGGTTAATAAAAATCGTTCAAGATTATTAATCACTTTTCATAGCTATGAGATTGTATTCGTTTCCGAATGAATAACAGCGATAAAAAGAAATATTCAACGAGCTTTAATGTACAAAATTGATAAAATAAGTTTACAGTCTCTTTACCTTCGAAATAAAATTACTCCTGCTAATTCTTTAACACGCTAACCGATTCGCACATCTCGTTTCTTTTATTTCCTTTTGAAGATTAACGTGTGAGTTGTTACTTAACGTTTGAGCTCGTGTTAAATGCTAATTGCTCCAGTCTTCGAGATACTCGAGCAATTACGTACCGAAAACTTAACAGCAGGAAGAAAAAATGAAAAAAAAAAGAAGGTGTTGATAATATTATTTAACCGAATGATACGTTATTCGTGTAGTTTTTCGCAGACTGCCTCTACTTACTCAGCAATTAATTTGCTTCAGCAGCTTTAAAATTGGAGAGCATCAGCGTGATACGATTCGGTTAATAATCCTCGTTTCTGGATTTAACCAGCAAATATTTTCTCTTTTCTTTTCCACAGACCTTGCACCGGACTGACTCGATGGTATCTCTCTGCTACCGATCTCTTGCCAGCTATATCACAGACGATAATCTTGCTGGTCTGCAAAATTTTCTCGAGAATAAAAGAGTACAAATCGATGATCGAGATGAGGTAACGTATTTCAACATCGATACAGCCCGTCGTTAGATAATTAATTAAATTATTATTACAGAATGGTAGCACAGCCCTCATCCTTGCAGCAACTAAAGGAAAGATCCATTTTGTGCGGGAGCTTATCAATCATGGAGCAGAAGTTAACGCAGAGGATGGGGTTAATATAATTTTATTTTAATCCGTACACTCTCCTTCGAGTATCTAATTCATTCTAATTTTTCAGGATAATTGGACGGCGTTACTTTGCGCCGCCAAAGAGGGTCACACCGATGTTTGCCTCGAGTTACTCGAGCATGGTGCCGACTTGGAACACAGAGACATGGTGAGAATGATCGTCTTTTTCTACTTAACTTTGGACCCTGGAACGTTATGTACACGGTAAGGAAGTATCCTTAATAGAAGATATTGAAAAATGTTTTCTATTCTTAGGGAGGATGGACGGCACTTATGTGGGCGACGTACAAGGGTAGGTCACCAACGGTGACGATGCTACTAGCTCGAGGAGCTGACGTCAATGCACACGGGAATTTTCATATATCCTCGTTGTTGTGGGCTGCGGGCAGGGGTTACCCTGACATTGTTAAAGACCTTATTGCTCATGGTGCTAAAGTGAATGTCGGTGACAAGGTAACCCTCTTCAACTTTTTTTACTTTCATTTAATTTTATAGGGATAAAAATAAAGAAGATTTGTCTGCTTTTAGTATGGCACTACGGCTCTTATATGGGCATCCCGTAAAGGACACGTAGAGATTGTAGACGCTTTATTAAAAGCTGGTGCTAACGTTGATACTGCTGGCATGGTAAGATAAGATTCACCAAAATAATAAATCAGAGTTTATCGTTGGATAAGTATGAAACTTTTTATAGTATTCATGGACTGCACTTTTGGTGGCCACCCTTGGCAATCACGTAGACGTGGTGCTACTCCTTTTGGAGCACAAACCAAACGTGAATGCTCTTGATAAAGATGGTTGCACAGCTCTTGCGATAGCTTGTCGAGAAGGGCATCATGAAATAGCAAACGCTCTCTTAAACGCTGGTGCTTACGTGAACATTCAAGATAGATCCGGAGATACAAATTTAATTCATGCTGTAAAAGGTGGTCATAGAGGAGTGGTGGAATCTCTTTTGAAGAAGTACGCTGACGTAGACATTGCCGGAAAGGTAAAAAGAAAAGATAGAGTTGATTACACTGTCTTGAAGTAATCATCCGATCATTCAACTTCCATCATTGTAGGAACATTGTTCTTCGATGTTTAATTCATCATTCTGGAACACTTCCTTTTATAATAATAATACACACGCGCGCACACACACATTGTATAACCAAAACGATTGCTTCAGACAACCAAAGATCCAGTTAATCGTCGTAATTTTATTGAAATATTCTAGGATAAGAAAACAGCAACTTATATTGCAGTTGAAAAAGGCAATATACCGATATTAAAACTATTATTAAACGCCAACCCAGATTTGGAGATTGCGACGAAAGACGGTGATACACCGTTACTACGGGCGGTTAGGTCGCGAAATGCAGAAATAGTACAATTATTGCTAGACAAGAAGGCTAAAGTTTCAGCTACCGACAAAAAGGGTGACACTGTGCTTCATATAGCTATGCGTGCACGATCAAAAGCTATCGTCGAGATACTATTAAGAAATCCGAAAAACAGTCAACTACTTTACCGTCCAAATAGGCAAGGCGAGACCCCGTACAACATCGACATCAATCATCCAAAGACAATTCTTGGACAAATATTCGGTGCACGTAAGTTTACTTTTCAAACAAATCGATAATCTTACTGTTCGTAATTTAAAACCATAACGAAGCGTTGTTTTTTTAGGACGTCTTAATACTAACGAAGATAATGAAAATATGCTTGGTTATGATTTATACAGTAGCGCATTAGCAGACATTCTTAGCGAACCGTCGCTCTCAACGCCTATAACTGTTGGCCTCTATGCAAAGTGGGGTTCTGGCAAATCTTTTTTGTTAAACAAATTGAGAGGTAATGATCTAAGAATGCTCCATTTGTCGTAGTTACGAATTAGATGTGTTACGTTTTGTGTCTATATTATTTTCAGAGGAAATGAAAAATTTTGCTCGTCAATGGATAGATCCCGTGTTTCAATTTTCTTTCTTATTGTTCGCAGTAGTAACTCACGTATCTTTGTTAGTGGGTACTACGATAGGTCTTGCCTTGCAATCGTGGATCGTTGGTCTTGCATCTGGTTTAAGTCTTATTGTCGTTACGTACACCTTCTTAATACTTGTCTGGTATGCCAACAAAAGGTAAGAACATCGATCAAGAGATACAGGCTCTATGATTTTCTTTATATCGCACAATTTAACGAGTAAACATTTAAAACGTAGGTACGATTGGTACTGGCCGTACAACTTCACCGTAGCTCTGACGACAAAGTTGAATTCATTGAAGCTACTGTTGCAAGTGATATTTTCACATCCTCCTGGCAGTAGAGTTCACGACGGTGTCACTGTACAGCCGATAAAGTTTTACTTCACCGATCAAACCCGAGTCGGTACAACTGCCGCTGGAGAAAACGCGGTGGTACAAATGGTGGGATCTCTTTACGATTCTATTGAGAACGACTTCGGTTCTTTATCCACAAGATTGTACAGGGCGTTCAGACCGAAACCTGATAAATCAACTACAACATGGAAATGGAGACACCTTTGTTGCTTACCATACATAGTAATATTCGAATTTTGCTTTTGCAGTTTGCTCGTTGGTATATCTGTACTTACAGTCTACCTCATCGATATTTCTAGTAGCGAGCCAACAATTGAGAGAGTTACTGCACACATCATAATGATAACCGTTGCCTTAATACTAGCCGTTAGTATAATAGCAAACCTGTACACGTGGAGCCGAACGTTGCAAGCGCTTGTATTCTCCCAAAGGCGTCATCTTCAACGTAGCATTTCTAAGTTGGAGACGTTAAAGAGTGAAGGGTTTATACAAACGTTAAAGAGCGAGGTTAATTTAATGACCGAAATGGTCAAGTGTTTAGACAGCTTCATGGCTCAACAAAGCAGATTAGTAATAATTGTGGATGGTTTAGACAGTTGTGAACAAGACAAAGTGTTGTTAGTTTTAGATGCGATACAAGCATTGTTCAGTGATAATGGTTATCCATTCGTTGTCATATTAGCAATTGATCCGCATATTATTGCCAAGGCAGTGGAAGTCAATAGTAGAAGATTATTTACAGAATCTAATATCGGAGGTCATGATTATTTACGCAATATGGTACACCTTCCGTTTTATTTACAAAATAGTGGTTTAAGGAAGGTGAAAGTTGCTCAACAAACTGCTCAGCACAGCAGAAAAACCACGTGGACCGAAGCCGAAGAGAGCGTTAATTATACCACAACGAGTACAATGCATCATTCTGTATCCAACAGAAGGCTTAGCACAGAGTCTGGTATAATGAACAGCAACGAAAAACTGAAGCCGCAAAGTAGAAAGGGCAGTAGAAAGTTACGATTAAGCGAATCGATCGCGAGTAGTATCGGTAGCAATTTGAATCGATTGGGTGGCGCCCAAGATCTTAATAAAATGCTCCTTACCGACGATTATTTCAGCGACGTGAATCCTCGTAGCATGAGAAGATTGATGAACGTTGTCTATGTTACTGGGAGATTGTTAAAAGCATTCCAAATTGATTTCAACTGGTATCATTTAGCTATTTGGATCAACATCACCGAACAATGGCCGTTTAGAACGTCTTGGTTAATACTCCATTACGATATGTACGAAGAAACTTTAGACGATAACATGTCCCTGAAAAGTCTTTACGATAAGATACGACCTCAGATTCCGGTACTTAGGGAAGTTCAACCTCTTTTAGAGATGGACAGAGACGAACGCAAGTTGGATATTTTCTTAACTTTTCATCGTTCCAGCTTACTCGTCAGTGATATGAAAGTATTCTTACCGTTTACGATTAATCTTGATCCTTATATTAAGAAGAAGATAAAAGAAGAACAACAGAGCATAGAAGAGGAAGCAGCGCTTGGACCGTACAAGCAATACAGCCCTTGGACGTTACACGGAAATGGCCACGAACAATTGGGTAAAAGTGGATTGACAAATCGAAATGTGAAATTCGTCAGAACGCCTAGTTTGCAAGGACCCATTCCGCCTGTACCATCGACACCATCCTGGTGTGTTCAACCAACGTTCGATTGGCAGCCTTCTCCTTGGATGCAAATGCCTCCACTTCCTCCTCCGCCGCCTTCCATGGAACCTAAGATTAAACCACTTTCTGCAACTACAACTTTACCGGTATACATATACACGATATAATATTAAATTATAATCATCATGGTATACTATATCATTATATTTCTTCTTTTTAGTCCGAAATTTTGGAGACGAGGCTTTCTTCCTTATCAGTTAATGGTGTTTGTGATCTTATCGATAGAATCGAAAGTTTGAGTTCCCATCATGCACCGCAGTACAAACAAGTTGTCAAAGAAAATAATATTAATGGTAGAGTTTTATTACACTGTGACTTACAAGAGTTGAAGAAAGTAAGTTTTATTTCTTTCTTTTTAAACGGTTGATCTTATAAAATTCGTAACAATTATTTACTCTTAGGTTCTAAAAATGGCATTTGGGGATTGGGAATTGTTTCGTATGGTTCTTGTATCGCTTAGGGAAATAGAACTTTCGTCTTTTAGTACGCACGAAGAAGCTTCCCGAAGCGTACGATTTACTGTGGGTTCAGAACAAATTCAGCGGAAAGGTATACACAGAAATTTATTATATCCATCTGATCATAGATACATATATGTATATTAAAATTACATTGTGTTTTACAGTAGATCACGCTTTGCAAAGTACTTCGATACGTGTACCAGCACATGTTGAAAAAGAGAAAGGAAACTCGAGAACCGATGGCGCACCCAGACGAGATCAAACTAAACAGTCTATTATGGAGAAACAAGTAAGTTTCCCTTAAAATATGTTATTTAAATAACATACACCTACTTGTAATCTAACAATTAATCGATTAATAAAGTATGCTTTTCATTACACTCGCGTGCGATTTTAGTTTCAGGTAAGCAGAGCCAAATTCGTCACTTTCTATCAAAGCTTTAGCAATGAAATATTTTTAAATAAAATATTCAAAAGCGTTGTACGATCAACGATGAAACAGCGATAAATTATTTTTTAGGTGACCCTGGAGGAACAAATGATATGCGGAGCGCTGCAAACGTTAAACGAAGAAGCTTGCGAAGATGTATTAGATGTACCATCTTCTACGGTAGTATCAACAGACTCACTCCCAGGTGAGCCCTCTTCCCTACCACTTTCACTGCCTCTGGTAATAGTTCAAGAACCACCGCAGCCAGACCAAAAACGTGACATCGTAATTGAGTACAATACAAATGTTTAATAAGTTCAAATCGAAGGCAATTGTGTATAATCTGATTTAGATGTCATGGGTGTATTACCTACATCATCGCATTTGTAGATGATCCTATAAATTCATCACTTGTAGTTTCAACTTTTCAGGGAAATCTGGTCAATGTGTCTGACGTTTAAATGTTTCTTAATGTATATATACAATATACATCAATAAGTAGGTAAATTTGTAACAGTATTATCGATAATAGGTGTAATCGTATGAAAAGAACAGTCAATAAAACTTTATTATACACGTATATATTTTAAGTACAATACACAACCAAAGAGGCTGAAGAAATATAAAAGTATTTTCTTCGAAATCTTGTCTCTTGTTTTGGAAAATGTGCCAATGTGTTTATGAGAGACTGGATTATTGTACATAGATAAAAGGATATAAAATGAATGACATATGTTAAATAAAACAATACCAAAAAAAAAAAAAGAAATGTCATCCATGTAATGAACAACGTTATGGCGATAGTGACCTGAATGTATGCGTTGTTATAATAAAAGTATCATTTTCGTGTAGTATTTTAGTATATTAATGGTATTATATTGCGAACATTGTATATTGTTTTATATTTTTAAAACTATACAAAACATTCGTACCCTTGTCTTTTTAAATAGTTTGAAGTTTGAATGGTATCGTTTAATTGGTCATTGTGTGGTTATTTGCAATTATAAGAGTATTTTTTCATAATTAATATTTGTAAAAGAGACTGTGATAACGACGTGTTACTATCATTGGATGTTAAACGAATATATTTCTTTCTGGGATGTTTACGCTGATAGATCTTGTACATTTAGAAAGATAAGCTTTTACATGAAAGAGTTTTATACACCAAAGTGAAAAAGCTACGATTATATTTTCATCTCTACTGATGTATATTTCTTTCCTTTTTGTACTATATGTACAATTATTCTAATTATTATATTATAAAAGCAAATGGCAATAAAGCTTTGTTGGAAACTTGAAGTTGATACTATCTTTCTTAGACTAGATCTATAAGCTTTTCAATTGTATGCTTTCATTTTATATCTTTATCCAAGAATTCGATATCACTGATAAATGATAGTTAAATTTATAATAAAAATTGTTATTGTAATCAATCGTATATCTGTTAAGAATTCTTCTTTACTGAATTTACTTTAATTCTTGCCGATTTAATTTTATTATATTTACCTTTTAATGGAATCAGAAGATGAACATGGAGATTTGTTTTAGGATCTAACTCAGCGGCTCCTCAAGACACAGATTATGTGATTCTTCAATCTAATCCACTTCTCCACTGGGTACCGGTTACCGACGAGCTTGAAACGTCGGACGATAGTTCGTTCGAGTCCACAGTTCATCTTCAACGTACAAATTCGCAACGTAGTATCACGTCTCAGCACAGTACCAGATCAGCCTGTTCGTTTGGACGTAAAGATATGAGAAAAGGTGGAGGAAATTCCAACAGTAGTAGACCTGTATCTCTCGTTGTATCTCCGCCGCCTTCTCCTAGACCTGCCTTTAGATCCAAGTCAACAGATGAGAATTACGTAGCTAATAACATACCTATGAGGTCGACTATATCAACACCGATGAAGAAACGACGTTCCACGTCGACGTTAAACGATGAGATAGTTTTATCGGTTCCCGTACCGAATTCCAGCCTAGAGAAACTAACGAAATTAAAAGATCGTTTAATGGGAACGTTACCTGTTTCCCCTGCACCAGGAGAGAGCGAAGATGAATCTACACCATTAGTATCTGAATTATCTACTCCGACTCATTCCCAATCCGATAGCGTGTTCAAACACGATTGTAGCGAAGAAAATAGTAGCTCGATATCATCTAATAAAAGCTTACCACGAGACGGTGAGAGATCCGTCGACATTGTAGATTATTCTGATACTGTTAGCCTAATGGTGAGAGAGTCTTCCCAGGTACGATTCTTATCACGACAAACTGCGGAAGAATGGGACAATCCCGAGACACCTGTTTGATATCTTTTATTACACAATCGTCAGCTCGGTGATATATAATATAATAATCCATGGCTAATATGTATATGCTGCGCCAATGATGGAAACATTAAGTAAAACTGTACTTAAAATCCAAGGTTTGTGATATATTTTCAAAGGTAGATACAATTATACTGCAGTTGAGAATTCTACTATGTAAATAATACATAGCATTGCGTCGAACTTTTTAGATAAAATATTTACAAGTGTTCAGAAAGAATAAATTTTACTTTTAAATGATATCGAGAATGACGCAAACCGTTTGCGGTATGTTAGAGTTTTAATTGTAAGAAGGGACATGTGTATTGGCAAATAACATTCCATTATAATTTTAGCGCATTTATCGATGCGAATGTCAGTTCTTTGTGAAAGTAGAGACTGACGTAAAAACAGAAAATATTTTTTTTATTTTACCTTATTGTAAACGTTTTCATGCCGCTTGATTGATTTGTGTCTGTTGAGGATGTAGCTGGTAATGCAATGCTTCAAACGGATAAACTTTTAAATATTTTATCACGCTGTAGATAGGTATGAAATAAACGATAATAAAGAAATGTTATCGTTTCTTTGATACAGACTATCACTCATTTTTCATACTGGTACAACTTGTCAGACATATATATATATATTGTAACGAACAAACTAATGCCGCTGATTTATAACTGATACGAGAGATAACATGTTTTGTGTTTAGAAATACTCGTATCAGCGAGATAAAATACTTTGTAATGTTTTCAATATTATAGCTGTAGATTGACATTTTTCCTGTGACAACAGGAATGTTGTTAAATAATTAGTTACCAGTTTTTTAAATTATTTGTAACGTTTTAATTTTAATTGTACGAATACTTAAAGTTTTAGTGAGAATTTTTTATAAACTTACAAGGAACATTAACAACTTATACCAGTACTTTGATCTTTATTAACGTAAACTTTACAAATGTTTGTAATGTAAACGAATTACGAATCTTAGAAATTATAAAAAAGAAGGTCCTATCATTTTAGCTTTATTGTAAATGATTCAATGCCTATTTCATAATATATGTAGAACAGGATGGGAAAATAAACCATCAAAAGATTTACAGAATTTTAAAGTACTTTTTTATTATAAAGCAAAAATTATATATATATAACAGTGTGTATATATAATACTTTAGGACGGAATACATTAGGGTATTAGTTAATATTAGATTGTAAACACAGGTAATACATATATTAGGTTTTCAAATAATAGTATTATATGTACTTTGCTTATTAATATTAAATATAATATATTTAAATACATAAAATGTCAAACTACTTTCGTAAATGCTCGTACATGGAATACAATAAGTACTTCAACAGCCTTTTACATATATTTCATCCAGGCAGGTCATATATTTTATAATTTACTTTCCATAATTTGTTCAGCTGTCCTTTAAATAAATTACAAATAACAAATTCAGTAATACAATAAACTTCGTCAGATCTTCGCAATGAAATTCAGATGTTTCAAATTTATACAATGAATCTAAGAAACATATATATTTTTTCTAAGAAAATTCCTTAAGCTATTTTGATTTTTACAATTAAGTTTCCGCAGTTTATTGTATTACTTATTAAAAAAAAAGATAACTTTTATAAAATACTGATATGTCAGTTACAAAACATCACATCTACAGAAACAATAAAAATTACAAGGACGAAAAATATTTCAGTGATACAATGCTATTACACAGTACAATAAAGCATGCAATACCGTATTATAAATACATATAAGTTTACAAAAATTTCAATTCATTCATATGGAAATGTATCACTGATTGCGAGTAATATAATAGATCATTTTTATGAACTAATTGTACTATATCAATAATAATGTACATATTTCTGTGGTTAAAGGTATTTTCAACAACAAAACGTTTTTATAGTAGTTAAAAAACTTAATCAATAGGAATGAATATAAACTTGATTAGCCTTTTTTTTTCTACTTATCATTAAAGGCACTATGGCAAGTAGGAAATACTATCTCAGAAATTTTAAACACTTTCAATTGCGAATGATCAGCAATATGTAAAGTTTGTTCAATTATGCATAAATATACAATTAAGCGAGAAATGAGAACATAATTCGATGTCTTAATTTTTGTAGGAGCACCACAGATATCTTTTTTTTACCATGTATGTTCTTATTAATATTGACAGGGTGCGAAAACACTTCTCTCTTTGTAAAATTAAACTATCCTATTTAACAATAAATGCAGAACACAATTAAATAACATGGCAGACTATGATTAAAAATGCATAAACAGAAATTAATAGATAGTAAATGCATAAACACGAAGTAATATTTCTGCATAATTACTGAATCCAAAGGAATGTTGTAACTTTCGCGTATTACTTTTATAATATTTAAGAGTATCGACGTTGTTATTACATATGTAATATTATGTATACGATTTTATAAAAGTTTGTTCTGAGCGTATAATTTCATCAGAAAAATTCACAGAATGAAATTATTTCGTATTGAAAATCAACATTTAAAAATTGTACAACCACTTAATTGGTCCCACGAAAATTTGAAATTATTTTTTAGCTTGATTGCATTATCCGGTTCATTAGGCAATGTAATATTGTAGGCACTTTAAGTAGCTCACGGAAGACGGGATTTTTTTAATTCCTTGATTCTCTTTAAAAGCATTATCACCTTCTCCGCGTACATCATTATTCCATGAATAATAATTTTAAAGCTGAGTTGTAATTACTGTTTTCCTCGTAATTACAGTATGTTTGATCGGTGTTTGATCTATTGCTGTAGTTTGCAAAGGATCAGCTACTAACCAAGGACTGATATCAGAAACCGCTGTATTGTCATCCTAAAACATATTTAATAAATGTACATTATATAATTTATAAATTGAGATGATAAAAATCATATTGTAAAGTTGATACAGAATTTCAGCTAGCTTTAAGATTATAAAAATTCGTTACTTATATTAAAAATTAAGCATTATATTTATGGACGATTTACAGAAATTCAACAAAAGCATTGTTCACAAGATACATGAACGGGACACAACGTATATTACAATAGCTAATAAGCTTGAAGAATAAACCACACCTTATGAGTAAGAGTTGTAGTGGTCGTTTGTATCTCTTCAGTTTTCACAACTCTTGCTCCATTCTTTTCTGTCTCTCCTTCAGTTTTCTTTTCAGTAGTAGGCTGTACTTCTTTAAACGGATTAAGTAAACCCAAAAATGGATTCGAGTCTATAAACGGATTCGTATTCATTTTCTTTTCTTCTTCCGTTTTCGTATCTTCTTCTACAGTTTCAGAAGAGTTAGTAATAATTTCGTTGCTATTATCGTTAGTGAATGGATTAAACGGATTCTGAGACTGATTGGAAACTTTAGGATTTAACTGTGTGGTTTTTTGTTCAATCTGACCCCAACTGTCTAAAGAGAAATGTGTTACAGTCACATTATCCTCTGCAGACGGATTCATCACTGTAGCTCCACTTACAGAGAGTGTCAGTTTATCTCCTCCCTAAATAGTGAACAATGCAAGAAAGCAAACAAATTACAACTAAAGCCTAGAAGCTCAAACGATAGAACATATGTTGATTATAAAAATATTTAAACATTAGGAAACCCTACTTTGAACACAACACAATATTTTTAATACATATACAATGACAATGCAAAATAGTTTCATTAAGTGATATGATAAAAAAAAATGATGGTACAACTTCCTACTTGAATGGATCGAACAGAACAATATTATAATCGAATATTAATCAAGATTGTTTTCTTACCACAGATACAATTGTTGCTGCATCAGAATGCTGGTTATTCTTAGTAACAACCGTAGGTGCATCGGTAGAAGTAATTGAAACCAAATTAGAATTCTTCCCTTGCTCAAGGGATTTTGCTTTCAAAATATTGCACTTGAGCGATTCCGGTGGAATAGGCGTACGAGGAGGCAGCGAAGAGGTACCACCAACTTGATTATTTGGCACTAATGACGTTTGATTAGTCATGTTTTCAATGATTAAACTACTCTTGACTGGTTCAGACTCTTTTTCAGTGGCGGCAATCGTTGTCTGATTTCTAGGCTCCAAAGGCTGTTGATCTTTGGCAAGTGATTTTAACAGAGAGTCTACCAAAGGTGAGGATGTAGCGTGTACACTGGAATCTGAAGATTTTGTACTGCATTGACTTGATTGCCGCTGCAAAGATTCTTCTTCAGCTAAATGTGACAATAATATTTTTTACATAATTTACAGAATTGTTTAAATGAATCAAAATAAATTGATATAGCTAATAATGCTTTTACCGGCAGGTGGTGCGGGTTGCTGTGGTTGTTGCGGTTGCTCCGTTTGTTGCCGTTGACGTTCCCTTAAGACATGACTCTGTCGACGAGCGTATCTCTGACTTGGACGTCTCTCAAACTGTACAGTCCTACGAGCTCGGTTCAATTGAGTCGTTTGAAACTCAGTTTTACCACTGTAACGAAAACGTGAACCCATACGGAAGAAATTTTGACGTCCACTAGCACCTTTGACGGGAGCACGTAATCGAAAGAAAGCATGATGCTCTACGGCACATTTCCATAAATGTTTACAGGCCTTTTCATTTACCAATCTGAATACAAACGTATGTTCCTGTTCTCCTCTACCTTCGTCATCTTCTTCTACAACAACTAACGTCAATTTTTTCTTTTTAAAATCTAGGCGACCAATTTTAGGCCAAAAAAATAAACCTATCTTTTGCGTTCCTTCGAAAACTAAAATTCCAGTTGGAGTCAATCCTAACGAGTATTCGCACGCATCTTTTCCAAGCACAGTATGCATATCAACACCATACATGTCCAGCCATTTAGCTTTACTAAGATAAGCCGATTCGGCCTGGGCAGGACTAAGGCCCGAACATTTAGCATACTCTTCGAGTATTTCAAGTTCCATTTGCTCTGTTTGACCTGGTACAAAACGAAATTCGGATACTGTAGCCGCACTGTGTATGGCAGGATCATAATCTCCAAGTTCAGCTGAAAAGATGAAATAGTATGACCATTAAATATCTGTTACAGGCTTATATGCTTATTTTATTTGGTATAAATTTAAAGTATTTACACTGCAGAGCTAAGGCAGCTAATTGAACAGCAACCTGATGGGGGCAATGAAGTTTTCCATCCAAAACATCTTGTTTCAATTGCAAGAAGAACTGATACCTTGTTAACTCTTCGCGTAAAGTATTAGGCTCTGATGAATAGAACTTTACCTTAAGCCGTAAAGTATATGGTGGACCAACTGCAGAAAATTGTATCCGTTAATCAATGAATAGTAAGTTATCACCGATAGAAATATATAAGTAATTTAAACTGTTGCATCACCGATTGAAAAGAAAAATTTCATTAACATACTTTTTACTTGTTTCTTTATAGGCTTAGTTGGATCCAACCAATGTTGAACATTGTTGCTATCTGTATATTGCAATCCGAAATAATCTTTTTCTATTAAATCTAAGCTATAAAAAACTTGTTCATACAAATCACTAGCCAATGCCTTTTTCTGCAACATGAAAACATTCCAATATATAAGGAAATTTGTACAAATAGGTACGGTATAGTAAAAATAAATTACTTTTATCTGTTTTTTGATGTTTAATAAACTGTTGTACTTACAGACAACTCTATAGGCAGATCTGTGCCATCGAGCAAAACAACTCTGCATTGGACAACATTCTTATTGCTGAGCAAACGTTGATTTTTAATTTGGGACGACGTAGTTTGCCCACTGACACTACGGCCCCGACGTCGTGATAGAAACCTTAACATTTTATTTGACATACGTTTGTAGGCAGTTAGCCTATTTGGTTTACTTGATCTGCCGTGACGGGAGTTGTGTTTCCCAGGACGCGTTGTGTTCGGGCGGCGGCCGACTGCTTGAAATAAATGAAATATATGATCATCTATTGAATATAATTGTCAAAAATAGATCATAAGAGAAACGTATTACACTTATTTGTGTTGACTAGCCATAACAAATCTCGAGATCCAAATCTACCAAAATGTATACATTTCCATTTCCATTTTCACCACCAGTGACTACAGATGTAAAAGACTGGACATGTCTTTGTTTTTGAGGGGTCATGATTTAACGGGTCCCAGATACCCCAGATGAGATTAGATCTGCATCCAGAGGACACAGCCAGGGTGATAATCGTACCTGTTTTACCAGTGACTCTTTTACCGAATCTTAAACTACCATCTGAGAAGACACAATTTTCACTCCCTTTGATTCTATTTTTATTTTAAATCAGTCAAAAGCAGCACAAAATTGAACAATTATTATTGTAATTGTTTTAAAAACATGTATTCGCTTCATGCACTTTAGCAAATAAATTATCTGAAAAAAGCAACCAGGTTATTATTTAATTTACCTAATTTCATTTTAGAGTTATTTGTTTAATTGACTTAAATTCTTTTATTATTTTAAGTTCATCAAAGAAGAATAAAGTTTATGATTTTATCTCTCGGCTGGGCCTCGGGCGACCACCTTTTTATTTATTACGAGACCGAAAAACTATTAAAATAAACATTTGACAAACTGGTATTTTAAAAAGACCGCCATAAATTAAGTTGAAAATTTCGATACTAGCGCCATCTATGCGGAACTAGTGGAAACTACACGACAAATTACCGACACATGACCTACGGGGTCCTAGACACCCCATAATAGATGCAGGTCGGTATGCACAGAGCGTCACCTTTACATCGGGGTTCCTGACACCCCACGGTTATATGTCGGTATGTAGGGAACGTCATCAGTGCATCGGGGTCTCTGATACCCCGGATGCCATCATGTCGGTACACAGGAACCGTCACCGATGCATCGGGGTCTCTGACACCCCAGATGCCAACATGTCGGTATGCAGGAAGTATCATGAATGCATCGGGGTCTCTGATACCCCAGTACTATCATGTCAGTACGCAGGAACCGTCACTGATGCATCGGGGTCTCTGACACCCCAGATGCCAACATGTCGGTATGCAGGAAGTGTCATGAATGCATCGGGGTCTCTGATACCCCAGATGCCAACATGTCGGTATGCAGGAAGTGTCATGAATGCACCGGGGTCTCTGATACCCCAAATGCCAACATGTCGGTATGCGGGGAGTATCATTAATGCAAAGGGGTCTCTAACACCCCGAGATGGTATTTGCATGGTACAGTTTCCGTACCTCATGAAAATTTTGACCCCCTGCGCAGTAGATAACCGTAAGAGTTAGGGCTGCGCAGTAGATTTTTTATAAAGAGGCTTTACCCAGAAAGGCCGAATTGACCCCTCTTGATGATGAGCTAATTAGTTTTTAAATTGGAGCACTTTTAAGAATGCCCAAAATTCGGGTTCCTCCTGGATCGCAGTTCTCCCGTCGGAACCTTGACCGGCTGCGCAGTAGGAAACCGTAAGAGTTAGGGCTGCGCAGTAGATTTTTTACGATGAGCCTACATGAAGCAAGGACAAATGGACCACTCTTAAATATGATGTAATTAGTTTTTATGTAACTCTTAAAAAATGTCCTTTAATAAGGATAACTAAACTAAATTTTGCAAAATTTTTGTCCCTCTAGCGGCAAAAACGTGAACTAAATTTTCGATGTCGAATCAGCGCCCTCTGGTGATGAAAAAAGGAACTAAAGCTTGCTAAAATTTTGGCCCTCTAGCGGGAAAAATGCGAACTAAATTTTCGACGTCGAATCAGCGCCCTCTGGTGTCGAAAAAAGGAACTAAAGCTTGCTAAAATTTTGGCCCTCTAGCGGGAAAAATGCGAACTAAATTTTCGACGTCGAATCAGCGCCCTCTGCTGTCGAAAAAAGGAACTAAAGCTTGCTAAAATTTTGGCCCTCTAGCGGGAAAAATGCGAACTAAATTTTCGACGTTGAATCAGCGCCCTCTGGTGTCGAAAAAGGGAACTAAATCATGCAGGAATTTTGGCCCTCTAGCGGCAAAAATGTGAACTAAATTTTCGACGTCGAATCAGCGCCCTCTGGCGGTAAAAAAAGGAACTAAATTTTGCAAAAATTTTAATTTAAAATTATTTTTCACGAGACTTTACTTACCTTTGCTCGAACCAGTGGCCATAAGTAGATTATTTATAATATATTTATTATAAGGGTTGAAAGGATACAACAGATGTAGGGAGAATTCAGGAGTGTAAGGGATGCAAAAATATAAGCGATGCCGAGGTAATATAACAATGTGGTATATTCTAATCTTTCTGTAATATACATAAATATTTTACAATTTCAATTTGCAAACATGTAATTGAAGCCTCTATTGTCATTGACTTGTTCTATTTAAAAATCGCAGTATAGATTTATAAAATTTAACAATTAATTGATATTTAAATCCCCTTTTGTTTCCCGCGCCGAGTGCTTTGATCTTATTATCTGCAACAAATAAAATCTCATATAAATATAAAATATTATCTACAGAGTTATTATAATACTTTATAAAATGTTTTAACTTATAATTAAATACAGTGAGAAGGTGCAAATGCAGAAATCTCATGATTTAAAACAATAATTTATTTTGTAAAGAACTATCTTATCGAATTACTAAGCCTAGTGGACAGGTTATTGCATCTGCTTTTTTTAAATAATAATAATTACGAGTAACTCGATGAAACGCGGCTAATACTTACTAATACTATTCAACGTATGTACAAATTATAACATCAAACAGTATGTTCAATTACCTTTCTCCCTCTTTTTTCCTTTTTGCAGTAAGAAACAACAAGTTTCTCATTTTACAACTGCATTCATATGAAAATTTAACACTGTAATTTACTGTCAGAATTTTACAGTTTAAATTTGCATATTAACAAAATAAAGAAATCGTTCACACAACAAACATCAAGTTATTCAGCTTCAACATTACAAAATATTTTATGATCATGAACATTGTGATCTTCTTAATAAAAAAGAAAAAGAAAAGAAAGATACATCTTGGAATAATAACTAGAATTTGCATAATCTACTTTTTAACAAAAGTTTTATGTCAACGCCTGATATTCTAATCAACTACATAAAAGAATGTAAGATATTTATATAGAAACATTAAAGATAATGAAACTGAACAAACGCTGTAGTCTTTTAACAAAAACACTTCACGCGCTTTTATATACGTATAAAATAGTTTACACATAAATTCTATTGGATAGGTCTCCGTATTTAAATAAACAATATTTAACAAAAACTTAATATTACTGTGAAACCAGTAACTTGGTATCAAACTTTGACCCTTTTCTCTTTAGAGAATGTTAATTAAAAGCTGAACAAAGTATTCTGTGACACAGAATCTTATATTTACAGCCTATCAATATTCTGTCTAACCCAGGATTTATTTTTATCAAAGCTGTGCTAATATATATATTTTATCAAAAGAAAATTTTATATTTAGCACAATCTATTAATAAAATCCTGAGACATCTCTTTCATCTTATCAATTTCAATTTAGTCTTTGAAAATGAGCGCAATCCTTCTTTAAAAAGTTAATTTCTATACGTTGCACTCATCCTCGTTAACTGTTCAAGTTTATATAAAATTTGCTTTTCAATAAACAAAGAAGGATCACGAATCCATTTTCTCAGTAATGGAATCACTCTCTATTTCTGTTTTTAATTTCTTATCCACGTCTGATTGTTTATCTGTTTCTGGATCATCTTGTTCCACTTGCTCATCGACGTTAATTTCTTCGTCTTCCTCTGCAGCGTCTGGAAGCAGTTCTTCCTTCACTGTGACCTCCTCATTGCATATTCGTTCTTCAGTGTCCCTTGTTTTTGTTTCGGTTACATTCTGCACGTTTTCAGTAGGCGAAGACGCGTCTCCAGGTCGATGAAACGTCAGCATATGATGGTCCAACTCAGCCCTGAAGAAGAATTTGAGGGTGCACTTGGAGCAGTCATAGGGGCGAGCACCCAAACCATGTTCTTGTAACATGTGATTCTGAAAGTTGAAATTATATTAATTTATTGTGAATTGAAAGCATAATCTTCTTCATCAGAGACAGTATAATACCTGAAGCCCAATGGGAGCAGTGAACAGAGACTGGCAAATATAACAGCTAAGAGCAGCACATCCAGCGAAGGTGTGTTCTATCAAATGACTCTGCAGTTGTAAGGGACTGCTAGCTTCGAAGAGGCATAAATGGCACCTCAGTGCATCGACAGAAGCTTTCCCTGACGCCTCGAGGTGTTCCTTTCTCACGTGTTGCTGTATCTTGGCTTCTGTTGGAAATGACATCTGAAAAATAGCAGAGATTTATCTACTTATTAATTTACACTTCAATCTATATGTCTTTGATTACTTTATTTTACATCTTTTTCTAAATTAACTTTTGATACTCGGTATTTTTTTAAGCCTCGCATTACCTGACATTGTATACAGGTGTACGTGTTCGATCCAGGCCCATTCTTCTCATGCTCCACCATCCTATGCTTCTCTACTTCTTCAGGGTCTTCAAATTTCACCCCGCAATTCTGGCACCTGATACTGTCATTCGTCTCGTTCACCCTTTCCTCAGTCTTGAAACTACGCTCAGCCTCCCACCTGTCCCTGGAACCTTCCATGGGAGGCTCCTTGCTCGATGTCCAAGTTCTGTCACACTTTGGTCTAGCAGATTCGTAAGGCGAGTTCAAGATCGGTAGACCTTGCGAGCGACGAATGTAACACGATTTGCAGACCCTCAGAGACTGTGCTCCACCGCTGATGTGACTTGGAGGCAGACTGACGAAGTCGTCTACGGAATAATCCCTCAGGCAAAGGCAACAAGTTGGATTCTGGCTCTTCTGATTGGGACTTGGACTGGATCCTACACTGTGAGAGCCAGTGGAAGCCCTGAGATGATGCCTGGCGTGGAGACGACACTCTAGGTCGCTGATCAACGTTTGTCTGCAAACGACGCAAGCTGCTGGTAAGTGTGGAAGCGAACCATCGAGCCGTTGCTGAGGATCCACGTTCTCCAGGCTGTGTCTCTGAACGTGTTCGAGGAACTGCGACTCCGAGGTCAAGCTTCCTCGACAAACGATACAGGTGTCGCTTAACTGGATTTTGCAATGCTTCTGTAATTTGTGCTCCGCAAGGGTGGCTCCCGATGGGCACACCTCGTCGCAGATGTTACACTTGTGACGTCCTCCAGGCTCGTTGGAAGCATGCTGGATCCTGGTGTGAGATTCAAGCTCGGTCCGTGATCGGCACATCTCACCGCAATAGGCGCAGGTCATACTGAGGTTCGACAAGGATTTGTTTTGTAATTTAGCTGAAGCGTGAGCAACCTTTTTGTGCGCCTGAAGCTCTGCTTCGTTGGCAAACTCTCCTCTCTCGCAGAGGTCGCACTGTTGGGAACCTGCGCCGATGTACTTGGGACGTTTATTGTTGTTGTCACGTTGGTTGAGGGTGTTGTTGTTGCTGGACGCTGGCGAACGACCCCTTTTCTGGGACTTTGACTGTAAGGAAGGGAAGAGATTTAGTGTGAAGGAAAGCACTCTTCTTTTTCTCTAAATGACTGTGCATTTATAAGAACTAGAAAGATTGCCTATAATCAGAGTTTTATTTGGAACTTGGAAGAAAACACTGCTTTCTATTTCAGCATTGGAAAAGGCAATCTTTCTACCTCCCTACAGTACAAGTTATTTCAACTACCTCTTCCTGCAATCTCGACGATCTAGCAATCCTTCCATTCTCTCGGGAACTGCTTCTGACAGTGGCTTGATGGTCAGTGGAATGATGCGCTTGAGCGATGTGTCTATCCAGCAAGAATTCTACAGCGAAGCCCTCCCTGCATACAGGACACCTGTACAGGCTAGCCGAATGGCTGGCCAGATGAAGTTGCAGCTCCAGTTCCGAGCCGCAACAGATTCCGCAGAAAACGCACCTGGGTCCAGAGGATGCAGTGATTCCAGGAGTGGAAGCTGGGCTGGTAGCTGCTGGACTTTTGCTGGATATCGTAGATGGTGCATGCACGTTCCTCACATGGTTCGCCATCTCAGATTCGCTCCTGAAGAAGCTCTTCCCCTCTCCAGGAGCGTTTCCAGGCGAATTCTCATTGTTAGAAACGGTACAAGCGTTGCACCGATAGATCCTGCACTCCTGGCTGTGTTTCACAGCGAAATGAACTTGTATAGCTACCCTGGTGTCGAAGGTGTCCCTGCACAGGGCACACCTGTACAAATGATGCGCGTGGCTGTCGAGCAGATGTCTCTGAAGAAGATCAGGATGAGGGTAGAGCTTCTTGCACGCTCCACACGCGTACTCCTTGCTGACTTGACCAAGGTAGTGCTTCGTCAGATGTACCAGCATGTCCTCCTTGTCCTGAAAAGTAGCCTCGCACTTGGGACAAGGATGTCTGACGACGTCGTTTCTATGGTCAGCTTGAAGATGCCTGGCCAGGTGTTCTCTGAACGATTCAAAGTCCTTCAGAGCGGCGCCACACTGACCGCAGAACAGAGTTCCAGCGGTGTAACTACTCTCGGTAGAATGTTTATTAGTCAGATCAGCTGGCTCGGACGGAGTCTGCTCCCTACACTTCTGACCTCTGTTGTTCTTCGAGTCGTAAGTGCCATTCAATTTCAAGCCCACGTACTCTCGACCATCCAGAGGATCTACCCGTCGATTTTCACAGTGTTGGAGTACATAGTGTTCCGCGTAGGCTGCTGCAGAGGTGCAAGGGATGCCGCACAACGGGCACATCATCAAAGTAGAGCCGAACCCGTCGGTCCTGTGTATAGAAACCAAATGATCCCTCAAAGAACCCAAGGTGGAGAACTTCATGGTGCACTGATTGCAGGTAAACGCGTTCTCGTAATGATCCTTCCGCTGTGAATCCTCTTGATACTTCCTCTCGTGATCGTTAGAGGATCCTTCGGGTCGGTCCAACGTTTTGTCACGCTGATAAGCGATCTGCTCGTTGCTTCTGTTAGGCGAAGGCGACACACCGACGCTCTCTCCGCTCAAAATCGCTTGATGCATCGTGTGCACGTGCATCTGAAGCTGCTGCATGCAGCTGAACGAGTCTCTGGTGCAGTACATGCAGGCGAGCTTCAGAGGGGAGGTCAAGATCGGTGTGGTGGAACAGCTGCCTTGCGAACTCTTCAATCCGGACTTGGGATTCAAGGTGAGATTTAAAGAGGGCGACGGGGAACTCGGTACCGGAGGCGACGATGTGCTGTGAGAAGAGACGCTCCTTCGTCCGTAATCCACCTCCTGCTGCAGTTTCGTCGTTCCCTGAGACTGATGATGCTTTTTGTGCGACTGCATGTGAGACGTTAACGCGGCCGCCGTGTTGTATCCCCTCGAGCAGGCTGTACATTGGTACGGCTTCTGGGTGTCGTGGGTTTTCATGTGGATCTTCAGATGATCGCTGAAAATGAGAAATAAATGAGTACGTTTCGAAGTGGAATGAGAAGCGGTCGGATAATGCCAACTGTTAACCCTTTCTAAGAGCAGTAGAACGATTAAAGCGCAGCGTTTTTACTATGGTACTTTGAATTATTCATATTTTCCCTGACCGAGATAAGGGATGCAACGATTTGCTCGGACCACCCTGTATACGTCTGGTCGCCAAAAATAAAGACGTTACGACATCGAGACGGATGATAGGTGAACAATTTTCACCCGCATCCTGTCGTTGGACCGATGAATTATTCATTCGACCGGTGGAAATCTAAATCCGTTGGAAGACGAGGTCACCGATTTTCGGTGCAGGCCCCCGGTCAGTGTCTCGGGATGCAGAAACGAAGACAGACGGCAAATTCGCTCCTGCACTTTGCGTCTGAATAATTCATCGGTCAGAATTATCGACTGGTTACCCTCTGTCCGTCCTATTATCCCGTGTATCGTTTTCACTTATTTTATCTGTCTCTGAAAACCCATACGATACCGCACATTTTTACTTCTTTCACATCGGATCGCTAATTACGGCTAAAAAATTAGTTACTTCTTTCGTTCTCGTCTATGGGTAGACGATCAATTGGATAACAATCGGTCGATCGTGAATTCTGATCCCCCACGGTTGCGAGATCTATGTGTGAACCACAGGGGTTTTCACCCTTTTGTTGGGTCACCCAAGCCGGCCGTCGAGGTGGGAGAAGGAGAATAGAGACGTGGCGTAAAGATCCAGAAACGCGATTGTGATAATGGCTGACAGGCTAAGTCTCTGTTACGACTTTCGATCTCAATTGCTATTTATCCTAAATCGACGACAGACTTTTCTACCCCTAATTTCAAGTAATAGAAGAAAATTTCTTAATTATTTACGATTAACCTAATACAAAGTAGGCTTAAACCAAGCACCTCTATAAAGGGTTAATAATATAAAATGAAGTAACGAAGGTAGAAGTCACAAGCGCGCCATAAGACGAGAATAGTCTTTGGACGAGCAGCAACGAGGCACTTGACTAATGTTCTACCTGTTGTCCCGTAACACCTATGCGCCTACCTGTCCACTCACCTGGACAAGGAGCGGAGACTCTGTGCCCCTTCCTTCTCTTACGTATTCAGAGAGGTTCCCGTGCGCTTCCAGCGTATGTGGACACTTAAGCAGGAAAGGTGCGTTGCTTGGTCCCGCCACCCTATACCGGACTCGTAGCGGCTTAGCATTTCAATACCCGGGGCACCAGAGTCAATGCGGCGAAAAGAGAGAAATAAAGATAGGAAAAGAGGTCGCGGCGATGCGTGATGGTAGAGGGAAAAGGGTGAAAGAGAAGTCACGTAAGAGAGTAAGCTTGACTAATGCCAACCGGGGCCGCGGTCTTCTTGCGATCATTAGTCATTTGTCAAACGCTGGAACGATCCTCTGGAAAAGGCTATCCCTACTCTCTCTCTCTCTCTCTCTCTCTCTCTTCTTTCATTTCCACCTTATGTTTGTCCTGCCGCTTTCCTACTATTCCCTGTCTCTCGATAATCCATCTCAACCCTTTACCGAAAATTTTTACCAATAAGCTCTAATTCCGTTTGATATCAAAATACCACTTATTTTATCTGAACGATACCAGCAGCATAAAGTAAGGTAAAGGCACCAGTAGTTGAGTTGAAAAATATTTTCTAACAACAAAAGCATTAATTTTTATAGCTTCTGAAAATACCTCAAGTCATTTGGTCCAATTTTAAAAAGTGTGCGAATAATTTTAAGATATTTTTCGCGTTTTTCTGAAAAAATGGTCGACTAATGATACCAGGTCTATTACTAGTGCCATTACCTTAACTGCTTTCGTTAAATAATAAAACTGACCTCCTGGAGAAAGCAGCCTCGCAGTGCGTGCATCGATATCTTCGGTCTCCCGTGTGAAGTTTCACGTGTCTATCTCTGCTGCGTTTATGCTTGAACAATCTGGCACACCAGCTGCATCTATAAGGCATCTGATCGCCGTGACTCTGTAACATTTCAATCAACAATATGAGGAAAAATAAACAGTGCCTCGAGTGAAAAGAAGCAAAAGATGTTCGAGAGCAGAGAAGAAACTGCTCGAGGAGGAATTCCTCCCCGCCGAGGTAAGGATGGTTGTCACCCAGGTAGATCAGTGTGACCGATATGATCGCAAACGGGCCGGGTCATTCTCTTTGTTCAACTACATTTCTTTTTTCTTTCTTTTTTTTTTTTTCGAGACACGACGCGATGCTCTCTTTTCGAGTCCGAGCAAGTTAACCTCGGCACGTACGACTTTCGAGCTGTCGGCTCCTTTGAAGAGACAATCCGGACGGAAGGGCGAAGCGATCACCTTGAAGACCTCTGCCTTCCCGTGGAAAACATTCTCGCGGGAGGTATTGTACGCGAAGAGAGAAAGCGACGAGCAATTGAGAGAAACTACTTAATTTTTCAGTCAAATTATTGCAATCTACATTTCGGTATTCCTCTTTCGGCAAATATTTCTGTAAAAATAATAAAATCAAGGGTTTTACTTTCTGCTCCGATTCTATTTCTTTCGTTTGAAATCTTCCGAAGGAGTTAGAAGATTATCTTTATTTATCGGGGTCGTATGTGCGCTGGAAGCGAAACCGCGCGTCGCGGCGATTCAGCTCGCGTATGTGGAAGCGGCTTTTATCGAAGTTCGTGAGAAACCACCTGGACGAACAACCTGACCGGTACAACCTGTTATGGGCCACGGTACAGATTTTGACCCAACGATGACCCGTGAACGTCGGCTCGCACGCGGAAGAGCGGAGCCTCTAATGCCACCGCCATGCAAAACAGAAAAAAATTCGAATCGGCCACGCGTCTTCCACGCCTTCCACGTGCAATTTCGAACAACATACTCGAATGGTGTTTAAACTGAAGATTTCATTTCTTTTTTCTTTTTTTTTTGAAAATTTAACAAGCTAGTCGGAAGGGTAATAGGAATAATAATTACCTGTTCGTGTTTCTTCAAGTAGCTCAGCCGTGGGAAGGTGCGATCGCAAAATTGACAAGGATAAGGCGCGTTTACGTTATTACCATCTGGGTTAACACCGACGTCGGCGTCCACTTCAGGTTCCGACGGAAAGCTGACCGACGTCGGCGTCGCGCAAGACGACGGTGTCTCACCTCCGCGTCGCGAGTTTGGCCCGCCATCCTCGCTCTGCCACGACGAACTTCCGGTTCCCAAGACTTCTGCGAGTACAAAAGATATAAATGTATCTTTCCTCCTTTGGTAGATAAAAAAGGAGCATCATTTGTATCAATGATACCGAAGAAGAGATAGTGTCTCTTTATGGTCCGCGCTATTTTTCATCGTCTAAAGCAAATATAGGGTTATCCTTTTTTCTTCTTTCAAGGTTAAACGAGTTTGTTCTTCGTCTAAAAATCAGTAGAAATATTCAGATTTGTTCAAAGTGTCGATCATAGGAAGGAGGCATTAATGTCAACCGGTGTGCTGGCAATCTTTTTCGGGAAACAGGTTTCTAAAATGTCGTAAGACGGACCAGTTCCATAAATGACCTTACGAACTGGAATACGTCTACGCAGAGGAATATTACGAGTGCTCGCTGACCTCACCTCGCCCGTTACATGTCCCTTTATATTGTTTTCGTAACGAGTATGCGCCGGTGAAACTGGTACCATTAACCCGCGAGTGTGTACCTGGTCAAAGAAGGTTCGAGGAACTGGTCCCACCGATGGACAGGGAAGAATCTTAGAATTCTTGGATCGAGTTCCGCTACCACTTTATTCATTAAATTAGGGGTTAGTTGAGTTTTTGTTGAATTAATCGAAAGGAATGAAAAATAATTGTTGAAAAGAGGATGGAAACTGGAAAGGAAAGGAAAAGAAGCGGGCAAAAGAGACTGGCGACAAAGACGTCCGGACAAGGCGAGTGGAATAATTAATAATTGGCAAGAATGAAGACTCCCACCGGGTAGGATAGAGCAAAGTGGCCCTGGTAAACGGTGGAAATGAGTTGGCTAGTTGGCCGTTTCCTCATTTGCCCGGTCCGACACCCACCATTAGATTTAAGAGATTTTACGGAATCTCGTGTGTGTTCTAACAACGGCCGAGAACACCCAACCAGATCGGATCCGTGGATTTGCTTAAATGGGTCGCATCCTCCGCCCACGCGTCCGGTTGCCCGATTTTCCAGCATTCAGCTAAGCTAAAGCTAAGTCCGCGTGATCGATCGAACCATCGTTTCGGAAATCATTTCTGCTGAATTCCAATGAATTGCAACCCTCCTTGATCAGGTGTTCCATCAATTGTGCAACACGTATCGGGGCACTCGCCCAATTGGCATCTGGCATGACTCACGCGCGCTTCTTCTCGGTGAAAAAAAAAACAAGAGACACGAGAGATCGGGTGAGCATGCAACAAATATAAATCGAGCTTTACCAAAGCACCCCAGCTGATCGTCTCTCGTCATCGAATCGTCCGCTTGCCAATAAATTATTTACTATCGTCGATCCATTCATGGAAATTTAATTATTACTTCGACAGACGATTTAGATTGGTTCTCCAACAAAATTAAAAAATCCATATCAATACAGATGATTGATTAACGAAATTTAGGGGTGCGAGGGTAGTAGAAAATTGAAATTAAATCTTCAGTCGAGTTTCCTGGAATATTCTAATATCTGATGATTTTTCCAAAGAAAGGGGAGAGTAGAAGCGAGGTAAAAAAAAGGATTTGATCTCGGCTGGATTCAAAGGGGTATTATTTAAATTTAGAGTCTCGATCCCGTCCAATCAGCGACGATGTGTCATCCAAGCGAAAATAGTCGCACTTAACACTGGCAGCTCTTTTCTGCGACCTGCCGATGCCAGCCGTATTGCATTGTGTTTTTATCTTATCGATGTGTTAGTGCACCCATACCCATTCTCCCTTCGTCTTGCTTGATCTGGCTGCGTAAATGTTGTCACCTCGTGCCCGTCGCTATTTATAGGATGCTTCGACAACGCTTATTAATAGGGGGCCGACTTAACGCCTTCGTTAATTGTGACTTATGTTAGCACGTGAACTCTTGACACTCTATCAGTGGTTTGCGCAGATTTTCAAAGCGCCACTCGTTCCCCGAGTCATTTCAAATCTACCATTCGTAGGATTCGATGGTGAAAATTCGGGATTTTTATTGGGAACTTTGAAATTTTTAGGGATGGATCGATTCAACCCCTTCTCGATAGCATAGAAATTCTATTAGAAATTTGGAAAGATGGTGAAAATTGGGGATTTTTATTGGGAACTTTGAAATTTTTGGGGTGGATCGATTCAACCCCTTCTCGATAATATAGAAATTCTATTAGAAATTTGGAAAGATGATGAAAATTGGGGATTTTTATTGGGAACTTTGAAATTTTTGGGGTGGATCGATTCAACCCCTTCTCGATAATATAGAAATTCTATTAGAAATTTGGAAAGATGATGAAAATTGGGGATTTTTATTGGGAACTTTGAAATTTTTAGGGATGGATCGATTCAACCCCTTCTCGATAGTACAGAAATTCTATTAGAAATTTGGAAATTTTTGCTACCACGTTGCTTAGAAATAAATAACGTGCAATTTAGAATTTTTGATACCTGATCGCACTAATTAATTCTTATTAAAAATGTTTTTAAAAGCAGTGAATTGCCTTGATTTTCAGAAAATTCTATTACAGGGTAAACGACGACGAGTCGTTCTTTCTTAATGGTTCTTAATAGCTAAGGACTTAACGATCAATTACTGGATCAGATTGAAATTGAAGATCACATGCACGAAACGAAGAGAAACTTTGTAAAGACCGATTGTGCTCTTTGATTCATTGCAATTACTTCAATGATTCAGTAGCGATAAAAGGAAGAATGTTCGTACCTTTGGATTTATGTTGCTCGTCCTGAGAGGGTTCCTTATGGGCCTGGATTTTCCCTATCAACAATTCCAGCCTTGAACTGTTACCCTTGAACAACATTATGCTTCTCTGCGTGTTCAAGCAACCCTTGTGTACGGGAATTCACCATGAATCACCATATCACAATCAAAACAATTTCTTTGCTTCGATTGCAAAATAATCAGTTCTTTAATAATTCGTACAAAAATGTCTTAATTTAACACTGTTAGTCCAATACTGGAACTCTCCAAGTTTCAATAATTTTTCCCAGAACTCATCAATGATCTATGCTTCAAATTTCCATGATTTTCCAAGGAATCCTGCAGTGATCTACGCTCCTCCAAATTTTCACAATTTCCCAGGAAATCCTCCAGCGATCTAAGCTTTCGAAATTTCCATAATTTCCCTGGGAATCCTCCACTAATCTAATCTTTCAAATTCAAAGAAATTCAACAACAATCGACGCTTCGAAATCCCACCGATTTTCCAAGGAAAATCTCCACCGATCTACAAACGATGGATCCACGAATTCACTCTGTCATACTGACAAGAAGATCGAAAGCTGCGTGTACCGGGAGTATCCTGTCGGAGGACGATCGATCCGGTCTCGATCGTTCGATCGCAAGGACTGACATCGGTCGATGAATCGCGGCAGCGAGTAAGCCGAGCGGGTCGAATCGAGCTGAGGAGTCTCGAGCGTGTTGCGCGCACTAACCCAGGAAACCTACGGTGCCTATTATCGCGGAGCACGATGCAAACCGGTGACACGGACAAGCCACGACACACCGAGTCCTCCTTCTGAAAGCAAAAGAGTGCCGTACGTGGAGAAGGAGAAGGGACCACAAAAGCCGCTGGCGAGAGGCTAGCGAGTCCCCTGGGAAACCAGCCACCGTATTGGACGGTAGGCGGGATCCAACACTAACGAGTACACCCACCTTCCGGATACCTCTGCCAGCTATTTAACCTTTCATCCATCAAACTAATCCACCTATGTGCCCTTAACAGGCTCAAGGTTATCCACCAAAGGGTGCCCGAGTACCAGCACCTTCGGCTCGATCCTTCCCTTCCAGAATCACTATATTGGGGATTTCTTCGTTTCATTTCAATTAAGGGTTAATTGTTCATTTCGAATTGATGCAAGAAATAATTGAAATTTTTCTAGGAGTAATGCATGGATCGTAGTTAAGAAATCTAAGTCGATCTGTTATTACAAAATTCTCTCGAAGGATTAACGAAGAACAAGAGCCTAATTTTCCCGAGCCCCATTTTCAAGGTCCGCCAGCGGGGTTTCCATCGGGGATCACGATCGAAATAAGTTCACGCGAGAAATCATTCGAAAAACACGGGCAGAAAAGAAAGGAAAGAGATGGAAGAAAAGAAAGCGAAATTCAAAGTTAGACCCCCTGCAACCCCTGTGAAATCGACTGGAATGGATTCTCACACACGGCTGGAGCTCTGTACCACCTTATGGGGGCAACAGCGGAGACCGACTCCCTACAGGGAGCCACGAGGTGGTGGCTGTAACCCGTGCCCGTTTTGGAAACGCGCCTAGCGCCCACCCATCGCGATTATTTATCTCGTCGCGATCGTGACATTAGGTGGTCCACCATTCTTTTTCACCCTGTTCGCATATCTTTATTATTTCTTCGATTTTACGTTCCTCCGTTGAATGAAAATTTATAAGATTCCTTTAGGAATTTTACTTTTTATTTCATAGACGGCTCAATTACCATAGAAGAGCGGTGGATAGAAAAAGTAATCAATTGAAATTAGATCGGCTTGAAAATCATGTTCAACCGTGGGGATCAACTTTCTCGATTGTATAAAACAAAACGGAACCGAGTCGCGTTTTAATTGCTCCGATCGCGCGTTCTTCCGCGATATACCCAGACGTTATCAAGCGTTTTCATTGAGCGATTCTTTTTTGCCGTTCAACGGTTTTGTCCAGCCCCGCAACTGGACCGAATCCTCGAAGTGTTGAACGAGAACTATGCGACTGCAGCGATGCGAAACAGTGCCGGTAGAAAAAGGAGAAGACTCGGTTGTTAGAGATCGCCTTAAGGCACGCACGTCCGACCATTCTGTTCGGCTCTTTTCTAAAATTTCTCTGAGAATGATAATGACTCGGTGTACGAGTCTGGTCGCGATGATTGTGGGTGGTACTTTAATAAGGCGCATGTGCAAGTTTCACTGTTTTCGTCAGCATCGACTCCGCCTACGTCTGTGCTCTTTCTCGTTGATGCACGCGTTTTCCCTTTTGGCTCGTTCACAAACGCGCACGCGACGCTTCCGTCCGCCCCGGAGGTGAATCGCGTCGCTACGGATCGCCGCTCCGCAACGCGGTCCACCCACGTTTAAGCCGCGTCCACACGTTTACCTATCGCCCCACCACCTGACTCGTGGCACGAGGCGATTTCATTCATGCCTTCCTACCGCGATCGAATCAGCGTTCCTTAGGAAAAATCGCTGTAGACGTATTCCCTGGGGAAAGCGTTATTCAAAGACACTATCGTGTCGCGAAAGCGCCCAACACTCGAAAGAACGTTTCATTTTTCGTTCGATTTGACAATACGGTATCCGACGGATGGAACTTCTTTCGACAGAAAGAATTTGACAAAAACTTAACGCGAGTAGGATGAGATGGTACAAAGGTATTCTAGTGAACTGATTTGCGGTCGAGAGATCACACGGAAGCGGTAGAGATTGCTTCGATATTCCAGCAGAAGCTGTGAGAACGCGGACGACGTTGGTTCATGAATTTATTAGATTGAGACGCTCTCACGCAAGCATCACGACGATTTAACAGCCACCATACCAGATTTCTGTCTTGCCAATCAGAGACGCTTTCTACGGTGAAATTTTCACCGGTTTCATTCATCCATCACGATTATTCGTTTATCGTTTGATTAGAAAAGATCGCACAGAAGGTTTTACTTTTTCTAATTCCTATCGAAAGTAATTGTTTGACAAACATCGATATTCCACGAATCGGTTCACTGATTTATGAAGACGTTCCCTTATCGGTACCACTTGCTGACATTTCCTTTATCCTTCCGAAAGATATTTGTCGAAGAAAATTCGTCGTCACGCAGTCTGGAAATTCGGTCGTACTTTGCTCGTCGTAAATTGCTCATAGATAAACAGATTCATTGAGAAGAATAGACGAAACATCTGTTTACATGGAGAACCAGAAATTCGTTTGCCTGTTTCGTTTGTTCGAGCGCGATAAATTTGAATGAGTAACTCGGAAAGTCGTGTTTACCTTTCGACCGGATGCGATAACGCGTTGGAAATTTGGATTTCTTGTAAATACGATTTCTTATCTCGCGATTAATAATCTACGGGTTCGTTCGAGTAGAAATATTTAGGAAGATTCGGTGTTTAGAGAATTAATTTGTAATTTATAATTCATTTAGTTAACAATTGTCAACTCGTTAATTGTTTTGAACCGGATGCGACAACGCGTTAAAAATTAGGATTTCTTATCTCGTGATTAACAATTCGGATTTGTTCGAAAGGAAATATTTAGAAAGATTCGGAGCTTAGAAAATGAATTTATGTAGTTAGGAATTGTCGACTCGTGAATTGTTTTGAATAGTTTGAAAGTATCTTACGGCACCCCTTTCTAGTTAAATGCAAATGCGAGTGGCGAACGAACTTCCGGTCAAGGAACATAAACTCCTCGAAACTGTCTTAACAACCTCGAGAAACGGGCGGACCGGTAGTTGTTGCTCTCTTACGATACTTCCGGTTTAACCGTCCCCGCGTAATTGTTCTTAACAATAACTCGAGTAAAAGCATAAAATTTTATAAAGTGAAAAATAGTATAAATCCTTCTTGATAAATAGAAACTGATCCGACAGAAATATTTAATGGCTCCCCCGGCACAATAAATTTAAACTCATCTTAAGAAGGGGTAAGGTTCCGGTTCGGCCTTACGAGGCAGGAAGCGACCTTCTGACCGGAAGTGGCTACCCAAGTAAATGGCGCACCCTAGACACGGTTTATCTTAGCCGCCATCTTGGGGCTAAAAGAAGCCAAGCACCCCTGTGTCTTAAGTCGCGTGACCATTAGCCAAAAGGTTTACGACTTCTCCTTAATGGTAAACCATAAGATACTTCATTTTCGAAAACCGTTCATTAGTGTTCAATTATAAGTTACTTAACATTTTAACGACCGCGGTTAATTCAATTTTATTGTAATTTTCAAATAATTCTTCTAATTATAACTTTTTTGTTATTACGGTCTTAATTACGAATGCTTTGGGTGTAATTAAAAATCACCTTTCAGCCATAATTACCCGATCTTATCTTCGATCTCTATTACTATTTTCTCCTAATGTCATCCCTCTAATGGCACTCCTTAATTACCTTCCTAGTCTTCATTTTTCGTACCTTTAAATTTCAAGCTAATTGTCTGGTAAAAGGTCGACCAGATTTCAATTGTAATTTTAATTTTAATTAGTGGAAAATGTTGAAACCGAGATGGCTCTCGAAGTGACTGGCAGTTTTGGAAATTTTCTAGCTCCCGTGTCTAATGATCGAATCCGAGATCTCTCGGGGGAATCGGATGATTTTGTCAGAGGACAAATTAGTTTTCTATCGGTTTCGAAGCTTCTAAATTCCAGTAGCTTCTAAATTACAGACCACCCCCGGAGCCCCCATTTTTTCCAACAAAATTACTACCTTCTGATGATAATTAAAAGTTTTGGAGGTAACAGTAACTGTTGAAATATTTAAAGGACCCTCTGAATCGCTAAATTCCATCGGAGTCATAAAAACTGAAAACAATAGAAGGAAATCAATCGATGATGAAAATGATGGAAGTGATTCGCGCCAGTGATTTTCGGGGCTACCGAATCCACCCTCAATATCCACGCGAGACGAGCTCATTTATTTTTTTCTAATACGCTCCCTTGGCGCGCGAAGGATCGAGCACCCAGCGTCAAGTTTTTGCCGGGGACGTGTACTGGTTCCGACCACGAGGAGGTCAGCCAGGTGAAGCCTTAATTCGTTGGGGGGCCAGGATATCAAAGAGGACCGCCTGGATCCTGCGGAGGATTCAACGAAACCGCCATTAAGACCCAGCGGACCGTTCACTCTCGTCTGCATTTCGCTCGATCATTCGTGACTGAACGAAATGAATCTTCGTCACCTGGCTGATATCTTTGTTAAACGATCCTCCGAACTGATAGTCGATCCATCGATTAACACCCACGTCCGAATGACTCGACAATTTTCACAGAGATTTGTTAATTCAAGTATCGTCTTTTAATTAATAGTCAGAGTACGATTATAAATTATTAAAAAATTGTAAGGATGTTTCTGGTCTACTGGATTGAAATGGAAGCAGTAGCAGGTGTAGAAGCGCGTCAGGTGCCCCAGGTACCTGCAGCTTCTTTATTTCTTTAAAACCCCGATGCTCGGCCACTGTGAAGAGACAGGTGATGAAGACTTTCGACATACTCCGATGATCCTGAGAGCCGACCATGACGAAAGGGCACGCGACTTAATCACGACTGTGGGTAATACAACAGGAAACTCGAACATGATCTAGAATGATCGAAGCTTTCCAATTTCTTCGAGATAAGATTTCGTATTGAAAAATTTGATAGGTGTGAAGAAAGTGTAAATTGTTTAGCAATCATTCTCTATCCGCTGATCTATTTCATGGACATTGATGCGAAGGGAGAATTTCCACCGCAATGCGGTTGCAAAACGCAACAAGTGTATCGACGAGGAAGAAAAGTAGCAAAGAGTTCGAAGAAAGTTCATCCACTTTCTCGAAAGAAAATGTAGACAATTTTTAGCTTGGAAGAAGATGAAAATTTGAAGATTCCTTATTTTAGAGGATCGAAAAGGGACTGAGTAGAGGTGGAAGGTTAACAAGAATACTACATCGACTTAAATGTCGCGGCACAGTGGCTCGATACTACTTGTTGCTTCCCTGTACATATAGCTTGCAGAGGAATTCTAGTAATTCCCTCTGCGAGATCACGGATAGTCCGACAAAGATTCAGTCGTACGAATTTTCCGTTTAAGAAACGACTAATTAAGAAATTTGCCCGGGTTGCCCGAAGGACGTGGCAAAAAGTTTCCCCTCCCCGTAGGTGGCACGAAAAGGTGGGTGCCCACAGTGGGAACCTAAATCTCAGATTACAATCTTCTGCTTAAGATTAAGGGCCCCCGTGTACCGTGTACGCGCGAGGGTACACGCGCGAAACCATGGAAATAACAAAAAGAGCACCGAGCTACAGCATCAAAAGGGAGAGAAAAAAAAAAACGAGGGCCAAGATTCGAAGTGGAATCCATGAAAGAAAAAGATAATGATCGATAAAAAAGGAAAGGAAGCGGACAAAGGAAAAACGGGTAATAAATAAGGAAAAGAGGATGCAAAGGGATGAAAGATAACAGGGAGTCGGATAAACGGACACGCCGAGAGAAAGAAGAAGAGGAGACGGAGAGATTAAGATGTCACGTGCACACCAAGGGACAAATACGTTCTGTAAGAACGTGCACACCCGTGGAACACGCTCGTGCCACCTCGGACCCGTTTCGCCGGCTTCCAAGACCTCCGTTGCATTCCAAACCGTGGAACCATGGGTCACGGATAAGCTGTTAACCTTTGTGTAACTCGTTCGCTTCCACTTACATCCTTACCTTTTACCGATAACACCATCTGATGAATCATTTCGCTCGATCTAGATACATTTGATCGAGTATCGGGAGCATGGAAAACGGAGAATAACGTGTGGAAACTTCGCATCGAAGTACCAACAGGGAGTTAATCGGGCGTGACTGATGCGAAGGAAGCGGATCCTTCGTTGCCGAACGAATGTCCCCGCGGTGTGGCTCGTGACAATGACAGGACAGTTAGCATGGTACCAGGGATCAGCAGGGGTGCTGTGTCGATCCTGGAGGGGGTCCGACACGAGGTTAAACCCGGGGATCATCGACTCTCATGCGCCCCCCTTTTTCCATCTCCATCGACACCGAAAATTTCAATTCAATTATTAATCTTCCTAAATTCGAAACAAGAAGATTTCCATGGAATTATATTTTGGAAATTTTCAAATTACTTTGATAAAATGAATAAGAATGAAAAGTTGATAAAATTGAAATTAATTCAATGGGGAATGAGAGACCTCCTGTAGCGTGACACGAGGAACGGTGTGTCGTCTGCTGGTGTTTTCCGACACCCACGCATCCTCGCGGGCCTTCTGCTCGAAAATAAAGCGGAACCTTCATGAATATGAATAAGACACGGAATGGTACCGCGAAATATTTACAAACGGCGATCTCTTCTCTTTCTATTTTCTTCGGCTTCGAAATTCCATTTACTCTCGATCGGAGGATTATTAAATATCAGAGATAATTCATCTACCGAAAGGGTAGCGATGAATAGATACGATGAGAGTTTGAAAAAAAAAAAAAATTCTGGTACAGATTGAAATCGATTTGTAGATTGAAATGGATCGATAATAGGAAATCGAGTGGAGCCGTCCGAGTGTTAAATCTA